AATGATCTTCCGAGGTTTAGACAACCTGGTACCCAGTACTTATTTTAAGCCCCATCATCCCGTCACTATAGATATTGGGAAATGATTGTTGGGATTGCCTCAAATACCTAGAAAATATCAGATTATTTGCTAGATCAAACCAGGCAACTTGGAAATGTTTGATATGTTCAAAGAGTAGTTCCCCATATGAAATAACAATGGGCTTTTGCAAATAAGAGGAATTTCAAAAGTAATTTGTGAAAATTCAGCCAAAATTTCACAAACCCATATAAGGTTAGCATCATTAGAGCACTAATGTTATAAAACATTGGGATAGCATGATGATTATTACCTCAAACAAAACAGAGGATAAAATGAAAAAAAGAATGTATTAATCTGAAAAAAGTAGGGCACAAACCTATAGAGAAGTAACCTAGACAAAAGTCCTTTCGTCATATTAATCAGCCCCACCTGCCCAGGGATTTCCAGTCTCTTTGACTGGGGAAAGCACCTTGCTGTGTGTAATAGATCTGCATATTATTTCTGCTTTGAATATGATAATGAGAGAAGTAGGTGGGGCTCAACAGGTTTTTTAATACAAAATGGCATTCAAAGGTTAAAAGTATATGAAAAGGATCACATTTATAGTACACATTTCAAGAAGTGAAACTATTTCACAGTTATATAATACTTATTTTCCTCTTAGCTTTGTTTTCACGTGCCTTATTAAGCTTATTGTGGTATGCACTATTATTTTTTACTTTGTTAATTTGTATTTCATGTACTTGGGCTATGCTTAATATTTTAGTTTTACTCTAGATCATTTTCCTCTTCTACATTTTGCATCATCTTCCAGAATTCCACCCTATATTTTCTTATTTCATTCCTTCAGGATTTGATTTATTTATACATAGTCTTCACTATTTCACACTGATTAATGTATAGTTCACATATGTGTTATTTGTACTTATTCCACCAATGACTAAACTGAGATGATGCTGGGAGTTAAAATAAACAATATGTGGAATGCCACAGGCTGTCCATTCCTCTGCTAAGTCATTTCTAAAGAAATCTCATTGTAAATAACATTACCCATGTAATTCTTCTGAATTTGTTTGGCTTATCTAGGCTTCAAGACAATTGGAAATGCAGACAGAAGATTCTGCAATGTAGACAAGAAGTAGGTGGGGACAAGTAAGTTGTGCCAAACCGTCACAATGATCTAGTTGTTAACTCTTTGTACCCCCATCCTGTTGTCAGCTTTTCCTCATAAATGTAAGTGATACCATAGTACATGGCACATTGCCATGGCAGTCTCAGCAAGGCTCTAAAATGGATCATCCAGAAGACCTGATTCAGTCAACCAGAAAAATGAAATAATCTGTTCAGGAGTTAGAAGAGTCATATTTTCTCCCCCCTTCATCAATAGCATGAGAACAAATTATTTCCTCATTTTTAAGAATCAAGATCACGTGAAGTATTAATACCACTTTACAATGCTTGGTAAGGCCACACTTGGAATACTGCATCCAGTTTTGGTCACCACAATGTAAAAAAGATATTGAGACTCTAGAAAGAATACAGAGAAGAGCAACAAAGATGATTAGGGGACTGGAGGCTAAAGCATATAACAAAAGGCTTCTGGAATTGGGTATGTCTAGTTTAATGAAGAGAAGGACGAGGGGGGACATGATAGCAATATTCCAATATCTCAAGGGCTGCCACAAAGAAGAGGGAGTCAAGCTATTTTCCAAGGCGCCTGAAGGCAGCACAAGAAGCAACGGATGGAAACTAATCAAGGAGAGAAGCAACTTAGAACTAAGGAGAAACTTCCTGACAGAACAATTAACCAGTGGAACAACTTGCCTCCAGAAGTGGTGGGTGCGCCAACACTGGAAGTTTTTAAGAAGAGACTGGATAGCCATTTGTCTGAAATGGTATAGGGTTTCCTGCCTGAGCAGGGGGTTGGACTAGATAACCTTCCAACTATTATTATTATTATTATTATTATTATTATTATTATTATTATTATTATTATCATCATCATCATCATCATCATCATCATCATCATCATCACCAATGATAGGCATATTACTACAAGCTGTTGAAAGCAGCTATACAAAATAAAACACCCCTGAAAATAAGATGTCCCAAATAATTAAAGAGAATTCTGAGACAAATTAGATTTGATTAATATTAGTTATGCAATTCTTAAAAATAATTGTTCCAACCAAATTTAGATTATTTACTGTATTAAGAGAATTTGCCACCTAGTGACAGCAAAGCAACATGACACCAAGATAATTACAAATATTTCAGGGCAGGATTTGCCCATCATAGAGATCATGAGTGTATCTAAACAACTGTGGTTTTAATGTGCTTTCATATACTTTTTGAGATGGTAAGTTTGCTGGCACAATGTTCCACCTACATTGTCGGTCTCTTCTCTGCTCAATAACAACGCCAGCAAGTCCTGCTCAAGAGCTTTCTCTAGCAATTATTGTTCTAGCAGACAGACTAGGATCTTTCTAAAACAACCTGGTTGTCAGGCCCATGTAGCAAGAGAGTCTCTAATAGGCAACAAGATTGCTAGAGAAAGTGAAAATCTAAGACATCTCTGAAGTGATCTGATAAGTGTCAATCCAGCATCACCAACCATAATGCTCAAGAAGGAAAACTGGCAATAACTGAAGAGGGAAACGGTTGCAGAAACCAACAGGAACTAATTGAACTTGTTTTGGAAGAGAAAATGGGTAACACTGTTTCCATATCAGAATACCCTGATGTTAACTAGACTTGAGTGTAGATTGTGGATGAGAAAGAAGATTGTCATGCAGTCATGTCCCTAAAGAAGCTTAGTGAGGCATTTTCAAGTTGAAGGTAGAAGAATGTGGATGTGCCATTTGATACCTTAAAGTTGGTTGAAGAGAAGGATGGAAAAAGACAGAGCTAGTGTATGATGGAGAGTGTTTCCAACCAAGAAATTTGTCCTTGTTCCCTTCCAAGCTCACAAAGATTCCAGAATTCCTTGCAAAATATTTTTTAGGATGATACTTATTTATATTCTCCACTTATGAGTTCGGAGTGGCACTGAAATTAGTTTCACAATCCTTATTTTAAGATCACAACAATCCTGTAAAATAATCATGCCTGGGAAACAATGACTTCTTTTAAATTTCCTTCTTGTAAGTTTCAATGCATAAACATAAAGCACAGAGTGGTGAGAAAATAAAAGAGTAAAGGCTGTTCTGCAATCAAAATAAAAAAGCAATTCACAGCAGCAAATGCAATATATGACTTCATTATTTCCTTTAAACTCAGACATAACCATTCTCAGACAAGACTTTGCATATATCAATCAGCCTTCCTTATGGATGTCCCCTATTTACTTATATCATTTTTGTTTCTCAATAGAATTTGAGCTTCATTCAGTAAGACTGACCACGGTTTAATCCCAGAATCTATGATTACTCCATGGGTTTAGTCTTGACTTTGTGCCTTGACCAGAAAAAAATGAGGTCCTCCTAACTTGCCATCTCCAGTGCAAGAGGGTTACTTTGCTTTTATCTCTTTACTAAAATTGCCCATGAAAGAGTTGCCTTGGCTCATGCAAGAACTACTGAATGCCACTGACTGTACTATAGAATGTCCTCAACGGGTTACTTCCATTAAAGCTTTGATAAACATGCTTTTTCAAAAGGTTTGCATAGCCATCACCTCTATTCAAAAAAAAATATGGATCTAAAAATTATTGCCCCATGGCACTTTTTTCTGGCTAAGCCTTCAGAACAAGGCTGGCAGCGTCTCTGTCCTCCAATAAGGATAGTGATTGCTGCTGCTGCTGCTGACATGGGTAGCAAGAATTGCTCTAAACAGGTTGTAGCCAGGCTGTAAACATCTCTTAAAGGTAGAGACTGCCGGCCCTTGCTGCTACAGATACCAGAAAGAAAGGGAAGTAAATAGTGTGGGATCTGTCCCACCAGTGAAGACTTGTCAGTATGTAGGGGCAGACACTGTAGCTCATTGATAGCTGGTCCAAGAAAGTTGACAGAGTAGACTATGGGCAGCAGTTCCAGAGTCTCAGGTGAATGCAAGTCCCATCATGTATGTACAGCTGAACTGGGAGAGCCATTGCCAGTGCAGCCCCTCCCTGCAGGAGCTACTGATGTGAGTTTACAAGCTCAGACAGCTGCTGATGTGGGCCAGAACCTCATATTTGTTCTGCTTTTGTGCAGAAATGGGAATATTGTCTTTTGTGAAGTTAACATTTCCCTGACACATATATTGAAAACTAATTAGCCTTGTGACTCAGAATGTTCATATAAGAGGTTTTCTTCCATTTTCCAATCTGAACAACCTTGATCTAGTTTTAGTTCACCTCAGCAGCCAGCTGGCTCCAAGATGGAAGTCTTGATGTTAGGACACATCATAAACAGTAATTGAAGGCAAGGTAAAGAGGTATATGAATGGGCCCAGTGTCCAGATAAACTACCTGTTTGTTTAGCCTTAGGGTTTATTTTACTTATTCAATTCACTTTATGTCCCATTTTCATGAGCTGAGAGCATGTAGGAAAGTCTTAACTGTTGAAGGACAACTTCAAAGCTTTCCTTTCTTGTAGCTCTTTATTTTTAAATCAGACAGCACTTTAAGTAGAGGATATTTTCAAACAAAGAAGTGTCCTTCATAAAGGAGGGCATATTTCACAAGACCACAGTAACAACTGTTTACTTTTCTTAAGAATTTTCAAAGAAAGATTAGAAAAACCACCAATCTGGCAGCCCAGTTTCTCGTATTTTCATAGATAAATGCCACTGTTGCTTCCAAGAAAACACACCCAGGTTTGCAGATTCAGAAATTGTCTTTTTAGTTAATTCTTTGGAAGGAACTGAACCCATTTCATGATGCTCAGCAAAAACAAGCTTGTTTTCTGATAACACATTTCATCAGTCAGCGCACATGGTTGTTTTTGGTCTGTCTCATGGAGGTTGATTCATCTGTCTTATGATTGAGATAATTTTACCTTAATAAGATTTCTAGTATTCTTGATTTTGAAACTTCTTCCTCCTTCCTTCTTTTCTTCATTTCCTTTGTTTCATCATAGAGCCTGGCTAGGAATGGGTGAGCGTAGACCTTTTTAAACTCACAATGTTTTCCAAAACTTCCTTGCTTCTCTTAATAATGGAAAAATGACATGAGGTTAACTGGAATGGGGAAACAACCTAGGAAACAAACATATGAAGAACTAATGAAAAGGAAAGGGGTGTTGTTTTCATATTTGTTTTCACAAATATAATGAGGGTAGCATAGGCTAGCCTTTTCCAATCGGATTTCTTCCAGATATATTCCTGCCTCCAGGCGGCTGGAGGATAGCAAGCAAGGGAAAGCAGCCATAGATATTTAGAAGTACTATAGTTCTGTGTTCCAGTCAACATGTTATTTTTTATCTCTGCACAGCACAACACTTGTTGTAAAATATTGGGGGTGGTACTCTAGACAATCCTAAAAGAAGAATCAAAGAATTTGTATAGATTCTTGTAGCTGAATAAATGCCCGATTATTTTCTGAACAGTGTCATTTGATTAGCAATACAAGCCCATGTATTCCTGCATTAAAACAGCTCTTTTTTAAAGCAGACTGATAAGTAAGAATATGGTGTTATTTCTCGTGACGGTACATACAGATCTTCATTGTTTATTTGCAACAACTAAGTTATTTGGCACTGCTTTTATTCTGGGAAGTTTTTTGGGATATCCCATTTTAGGTACAACTCAAGATTTCCTGATATTCACCCATCCAACGACCCAAAAAATCCTATCCTGCTTAGATTTTCTAGATTAGCATATTTCTAAAGTGCTATACTTGGCATTACTGTACGCTACAGCTCAGTGATGGCGAACCTTTTAGAGACAGTGCCCCAAAACTGGCCCTGCCCCCCCCCGCTCCACCCCCTGCCCCGCCCCCACCCTACCTGCCTGCAGGGCCACTTACCACCTCCAGGGCCTGCAGCAGATCGCCCAGGCAGTCCAGCAGCCCCATGGCAGCCACGCCTTCTTCCCGCGCCCTGCAGCATCAACTATGCACGATGGGGCATGAGGGCAGAGTCTTGTCTAAGCTGCTTGGCTGCCATGTCCTTGGCTGCGCTGCTCCTTGTCCTTAGTCATTTTGAATTTCACAGCAGCTCATGGGAGTGAGGTTAGGTATTCTAATACAAAATTTAAGAGAGGTTACATTAATTGAACTCTCCTATCGAGTATGAAGAAGAGGTTTAAGTTTTCTCTCTTTACATCTTTGGCTTGGAAAACGACGGTTCAAAGAAATAAGTAATTTATTGCACGATGCGAACGTGAAGGACGGACGAAACGAGTAAGGCTGATTCAGCGCTGGGTAATCCCGACCACTTCAGATTTCCCTAGGAAGTGATGCTTCCGGAGTTAAGATTCAGGCAACGCCTTAGACATGTTTGAAATGAAGAGTGAAACACTGCCTGTACTTTTGGAAAAACATTTAAACGTTTTATTAGCGCCTCTCAGCACTGTTTCGATGAACTCACTAGAAATTAAATCCAGTCCACTTTTCTTTTTAATGAGCATCTCTTTCTCTTTTTGAAAAATATCAAAGGCTGTTTTATAGAAAGTTAAGGTTTCAGCATATTATGAAAGTTAGTAAATATTCAGCCATATTAAATGAATTAGATCAGGGGTTCCCAACCGCGGGTGCTCACACCCCCTGGGGGTGCAAGACGATATTCCAAGGGATGCGAAAACTTGGATTTAGACGTTTCAAAACTATAGTGTATATGCATAACCAGGTACTAATTTTGTAAAGGGTGCGAGAATATATCAGAAGCCCTCTAGGGCTGCGGGGCATAGAAAAGGTTGGGAACCGCTGAATTAGAGCAAAGTGTGTTCCTTTCGTTCTAAAAGCATTTCTAGAAAATATACAATGATTTAGATTTTTTTTTTAAGTATTCTCTAACTTTTATCTCTACAGCTCAGGGATAACATAGACGCCACAGGCCGCGCGTTTCCTGTGTTTAATGTCACTTCCTTTTACTGGCTACCTTTCTAGGCGCGCGGGGTTGTTTCCATGGCTCCTTAGAGGGACGAGGTTGTCTCAATGTTCCTTCTAGGCGATTGGAGGCCGCGTGACTCGGTGGTTCGACGAAAGGAGTCAGCTGCGGAGACAGGCCTGGCGGTGGACGAGAGGGGCCTGTATTGTCGTGGCTTCTCGGTCTGGTAGAAGAGACCGAGTGAGTTAGCGGGGGACCGGCGAGGAAATGCGAAGGGTAAATCGGAAGGATTTGGGGGAATTACGGATTTGCCTCTCGATTGGGAGCAGTGATCGTGAGAAAGGGGTCGGATGGTCCTCTTTAGGATGGTGCGTCTTTCTTTCGTTTCCTTCCCTTGACAGAAAACCAGCAGGGATGCTTTCTCCCGTCATGATCTACAACAGTGGAGTATTTTTCTTTTTTCTTTTGTAAAGACACCGGAAACTACTGGCTTGTGTGTGTGTGTGTATGTGTGTGTGTTTTAAAGGTCTACTTTAAACCCACGAACCCTCAATGCGATTTGTTGTGTGTGAACTCAGCCAATTATGGTTTAGGGTGACTTGTGAGTCCAGTCATTTGTGGTTTGTTGCATAAACAATGGGTAAATCATTCATGACTTACAATTATACATCGAGCCAATTCATGGAGCAAGCCCTTCACCTAGCATCTATCAAGCTTAGTATATGTTGATGGTGAAAAGGTTGCCATGACTGTAGAATTGAAGTTTATCAGTCTTTTGATTCTCTCCTTAACATATATAATGGTGACTGGTTTCTACATCAGTTAGTTAGACTATTATGTGATTGTTTTGGGCTTTAAATAATGTAGGAATCCAGTCACTGTGATTAGCAGTCTATATTTTTTGCCTTATGAACTCATTATTGTAACTTGTACTAATCCAAATACCTAAATGTATTTTTCACTTAAAATAATATGTGAGATACCACCAACTGATGCAGCATTCAAAGTGCATGTTCAGTCTCAAAATTTGGACCTAACAAATGCTGATCTCTGAAAGGGTATATAATGTTATTTGGTTTAATTCACTAGTGGAGCAGCTTGCCTTCAGAAGTTGTAGGTGCTTCATCATTGGTAGAGACTGGACAGTCACTTATCTGAAATGGTACTACAGGATATCCCGCTTGAGCAGTGGGCTGGACTAGAAGATCTCCAAGATCCCCTCCAGCTCTATTCTGATTGATTGGTTTTCTGACAAAAATGCAAATTGCAATCATGTGACCAAAGGGTTTTGCAAACAATCTGTAAATGCAGGCCAAGCACCTGAAGTGTAGTCACATGACTGGGGGGGGGCATAAATAGCTTTTCCAGGTCTGTTGTAACTTGGAATGGTCACCAAGTGACCTGTTGTAAGGTGGCAACTAGCTTTGTAACAGTGAGACCTTCTTCATAGGAAATCTATGATAGTTGGGAGAATGAGCATGGCGAAGTCAGTTAAACACTTCACAAAGGATGTACTTTTGAGTACATAGAAAAATGTTTGCAATGTAATGCACTTATCTACACGTCTCATTAAGTGCATCTGAACTTATTTCTGAATAAATATTCAGTTATTTTACAAAATTAAATAGCCCAATAGCAGAAGGATGCAATGAAGTCCTTTACCAGTCAATGCAGAAATGGAAATAAACCTACTTACATTGCACTGGGTTGCAAATTAAATCCTAAATTATGATGTTTTTAGGATGTTTGTTTCATATATATAAATTTCTGAGGAGGAATAAGACTATTAACTGATATTAGTCGTGAAGGAGCCATGACTAATATGCGCTCAGTCTTTGATTTTTTGCAGTGGAATGTCAGTAATAGAAGCAGAATGTTGTATTTGCTGGATCTTTTTCATGGTCAAGAAAGCCAATTTTTCCATTATTTGAAGAACAGCATTCATTTGAAATCATTTTTCTTCTGAATTTTCTATTGATGTTTTATTCATGTTGAATATATTTCATCTCAAATCTTAGAGTTAGATTGAATAATATATACAAATATAATTCTGCAGTGCTTCCTCTGAAAGAATCAGAGTGCATACTATTTCCATTTTATTTATCACCTTTAACCAGATCTGAGAAATTTCATTTATTGCAACCTGTCTAATAACTTTCCTGTGCCATGCTTGGGTCAGTGACCTCACTTTAGGAAGCTGTTAGTAACACTGGTAGTTTTGTAATTGGAAAAAAAATGCAATACAATTCTTGGATTTTGGAGAAGAGGTACATTAGAAGGCCTTCTTTTTGTAGAATTTAGTTGGAATGACACAAATCATTTTTTCTTTCAGGTACTGATGGAATCACTCTGCATTCTCTAGACAGTGACCTGAGGAATTTATGTTTTAAGACATCCGTGGATTATTTATATATGCCTATGCAGCCTCTGGGCTGTTGCTTCAGGAATGGCTCCCCAGTTCCGCAGTTATGTTTGGGATCCTGCTCTTATCATTTCTCAGATCATGCTCATGCAAGCAATTTATTACAGCAGTCTGGGGCTTTGGTTGGCTCTCGTAGACAGTCTGGTACAGAGCAACCCTTCACTGGACCAGATTTTCAGTTATGAGGTAGGTAATTATGTTTTCAGTATGTCAGAAACAAATTTTGACAAATCAAAGAAGGCAGTAGAAGATTTTTAGGAGGAATACTGAAAGCTAATATTTAACTTCATGGATTACCTCTCATATAATTTACATTTAAATTTAATGTACAGTATGTCAAAAGTTAATTTGCACTGTTTCAAATTACTGCCTTTATTATATCAGTATTAAAATGAGTTTGATTAGTTGTCCAGATGTTGCCTCTTGAACTATAGAGCTGATGTAACATCACTGAAGCCAATAGATCTTAGCTGATTTACAGTTTATTGCAATGGCTATGTTTCTTTGTACCTGTACAGGTTTTGGGATTTGCCACCTCTCCAGGGAGACTTTCCACAATGGCATTTATCCTGAATGCACTCACCTGGTAAGTCAGATTGTTATTCTTCTGACACCCTCAAACCAAGCACCTTTAGAGTGGCGAGCTGCCTCTTGATAAAAACAGAAGCGTTCTGATTATCAGTGCTATAAAACTGAAGGCCAAACTAAAGAAGGCTGGGACTAGGCATTTAATATGATTAGCTAAGTAGCCCAAAATATCTGACTGCCAGGTGACAGAATGAGTTACTGAAGGAATGGCTGAAAGACCAGGCTGGGAACACAGTGTCCAGGAGAAAATTACCTATGTAATTCCTAATAATGGACACTGAGTTGATAATACGTAATGAAATCAGGTTGGTTGAACTGCTCAAATCCTATGGAGAGATCATGAAGAGGAGTCTAGAGAAAAAGTATTGAAGTAGAGCCATTCAGAAAGATGAAGCTGAAGCTGATAAATTATAAGCCAAATAATGGTGATATCTAATGCAAAAAAAAAAAAAATGAAACTAGAATTGTTTAACATGCAATGAAGAAAAGGAAAGAATTTCAAGAGGGAGAATATCCAAGAAAAATGTGCTTAAAAGTTACAATTTTAGAAAGGAAAAACACATAGTTTTAATTACCCAAATTTTCCTTGACTTACAATCATCTCATTTAGTGACATTTGAAATTACAATGCCAATGAAAAAAAGTGACTTAGGACCATTTTTCACATAACCACTGCAGCAACCCCGTGGTCAGCTGATCAGAATTTGGGCACTTGGCAACTGACATATATTTATGATAGTTGCATTGTTCCATTGTCATAGGATCACTATTTGTAACTTTCCCAACTGACTTCTCATAAACAAAGTCAAGGGGGTGAAGCCAGATTTGTTTAATGATAGCATGATTCACTTAAAACTGCAATGATTTGCTTAACAACTGTGGCAAAAAAGATCATAAAATGGGGGGGGAACTCACTTAACAACTGCCTTGCTTAGCAATGGAAATGTTCGGCTTAGTTGTGGTTGTAAGTCAAGGACTACCAGTATATAATTACCCTTCTAGACTTTGGAGGCTGATTAAAAAAAAAGCATACGTATAAAATAGAACAGTTAGGAATTTTTTATATATGAAAATTTCACTTTATTTTGAGCGAACAATTTTTTAAAGGGCCAAAAATTGCTGAAATATAAAAAGAATATAAAATGTTTATCTTTGGAGTCTAAAGTTTCCTTTAATTTCTTTGCTTTCTCACATAGATTGGATAAAGATTTAAATGAAAAGTGCTTCCACGAGATATGTCTTACATAGCTTATATGGAAAATAGAATGATGAAGATGGTGTATCTTAAGGTTTGACATAATTCTTTTCTTTTCTTCTGCAGTGCCATTGGTTTATTGTATTTCATTCGACGAGGAAAGCAATGCTTGGATTTCACAGCCACTGTTCATTTTTTTCACCTGTTGGGCTGCTGGATTTACAATGGATACTTTCCGACAGCTTTGACCTGGTGGCTTGTACATACTGTGTGCACAGCACTCATGGCTGTGATTGGGGAATACCTCTGTATGAGGACAGAACTGAAAGAAATCCCATTAAATTCAGCCCCCAAATCCAGTGTATAGGCCATCAGAGGCACTGTGTTTCTCCATCAGTATCAGCATCTTGGTGCTAGTTTGTGAAATGTGGAAATGCAACTGAAGAAATCCAGAGGGCCTTAAATATATTAGCTGGGAGACTGACATACTTTGATAGGCCAAGATGAATATAGTTTTTACATAACTCATTTTTATTACTATGCAGACATGCCCAATTTGCCAAAGTGACATAGATCAGACTCGAGTGATGGATAAAATGCATAAAAGACATAGGAAGTGGACTAAATTTGAGAAGCAAGCAGTAAGTTGTGATGATTACAGTTTCCCTTCTCTATAGTGTGAACATCAGCTGACTAGTGAACTCCAACAATTGCACAATAGACACTTTGTTCCCTTTTATCCCTCATATATCTGATACTTGTTTTACTTCCACTTTTTGAATTAAAAGATCAAAGAGATCAAACAATGCAGAAAGGCACAGTTCTATTATTCCCTTGGCTGCTCAGATTCCAGAAAGCGTATTAACAGCAAAAGGTGACTGTATTTATTTGACTGAAGAAATTACTATTTTATTTAATAAAGACTTCAACTTTCCATTGAAGCTTTACAGTGTATTGATCAGGCTAGTTTATATTACTAATATGGCAGTAGAAATGAAAACGTTATCAGTCTGGAATACAATTCAGGAAACTGTGGCTTAGACACTTTTAAACTATTGGCTTCAAAAAGGTGAACAAGGATTTAAGCCACTTTTATTTACAATGTGTGGCATAGAGAGGTAACTGCCCCTGATCACATACTCTCAAGACTGGAGATGGTTCAAATGAGCCCTTTTTTTTACTACAATGAATGTTTTATCTTGAAGATTCACTGTTCATAATCAAGGAAACTTGCAAGGTGTTGTGCAGGGCACTACTACTGTCAAGATATGCTTATTTTGCATATAATTTTAATTGTCTTCTTAGAATGGAACTTGAATAAACTCTGTCCTCCAGAGCAAATATTGACTTCCTGTGAAAAGAAAGTGTGTGAAGGGAAGGTTCATTTATAATGCACCAAAAGGTAGCTGTAGTTTTTATTATTTTTTAAAAAATAATAATTACTTTTTTGGATATATCCCAGAGTTTTCCCTTTGTACGTAAATATTTTGGAATGCTAATAATTTGTATCAGTTACAGTTGGGAAGCTAATGTTTGTAATGATTAAGGTGAATAATTTTGGAAAATGAACTTTATAAACCTTCTTTCAAAGCGCTCTTATGGGACCCATTGATAACATATAAAGAAACCCAAAGGTTCTGCCAAAATAGCATGCTCTGTTCCAGATACTTAAGTATAGATTTGGGCAGAGGGAATATCTTTCCTTGCACGATTGTTGTAGTTGGAAAATATAAGTGAATCACCCCGTCTTCATCCAATGTTAACATATTGTACTATATAGTATGCATTGTTGAATTATAGTTGCATTAACATCACTTCTTGCAGAAGGTGGCACTGCAGTGAAAGCCACTGCAATTCCTGTTGCAAACTGTGTATTATGCAATCTTCTCTGCAGTACTTATTTGTATGTTCACATGTGCACTCAAGGCATTTGTTTTCCTTTGGGAGTATCATAATAGCACACCTAATGCAGCAAAGGAGATTTGAAGCCGTTTCAATGAATCTCTGTAGACTTAACAGTGACTAAAGACTGGAATCTAATTAGGCACACAGTGGCAATCTGAGTACTGAGAGTTTTTCTGTTCCCATTATTTGAGATCTATTTAGCAGATGTTAACAGGGATTAGGGTGCGCATTTATTTATGATCAAAGCCTGTGTGTGAAATTAAGGGCTATGTTTAAGGCAAAGCGAAAAAGTAGTTTGGAACTTATTTGACCTTGCCTACTTTTCCATAAATTGACAGCAGTCATAAGCATAATATGGTGCTTGTGATTGGAGATTGGAATGCCAGAGTTGGAAATAATGAGACTGAATTGAATCATAAGGCCAAGGAAACCTAGAAAATTAAGCAAAATGGTGACTTTCTGCTAATAATGATGATAATTAGTTTCTGCTAATCAAATTATTTCTTGATTGCTAACACAAGTCTTCAGATCACCAAAATAATGCCTATGTGTATGGACATCGCCTGATGGACTAAGCAGAAATCAAATCAGTTGTATTATTAATGCAAGGAGGTAGAAGTCTTAGTTATATCAAGAAAGAATGAAGTCAGAGACTGATTGAAGACCACGGACTGCTCATGTACAAGATGTAAGTCAATTTCCATGTGATCTTGAGCATGTATCCATCATTTTCAAGAAGAATATCAAGCATTTCTTCACAATCCTGGCCCTTATTGACAGGCAACCAGAGGAACAATAGAACAAAGTCAAAGAGGCTATTAAAGATGTGAAAAGTTCTTGAACTCAGAAGGAAATTCCATCCTTAAATTACTATAGCAAGGGACACTAATGTACAGATAGCAAAAGTTGTCCTCAAGTTACAACCCTAACTGGAACTGGAGTGTGGTTGTAAATTGTGGTTATAAATTGAGGCATCGACATGACAGGACCCAATTTTTTAATGGTTTTTAAGGTGGTCATTAAATAGATCATGTGTTCATAAGTCTGAATCATGCAGTTATTAAGCAAATCCATTCTCCTGAATGAATGGGTTTGGGGTTGTTTTTTGCTGGAAACTGGCAAAAAAAAATGCCAGAAACAAGTAAAAAAAGTTGCAAATTGTGGTCACATGACTGGGATGCTACAGCTGGTTACAAATGCAAGCTGGTTGCCAAGCACCTAAAACATGGTCATGTGACCATGGGATTTGCAACGTTTTAAGATAGACAGACACCCTTTCTGAAGCCACAGTGACTTTGAACAGTCATTAAACAATTGGTCATAAATCAAAGACTACCTGTAATGATTCAAAGAAGATCAAACAAAAATGGAAGGAGTATATTGAAATTCTGAACAGTATGAATGTTAATATCCAAAATACCTTAGAAGATTTCACCTATTTACATGAATGTCAAATACTAGAAAATCAAGTTAGATCAACACACCAGTAACTATCAAGTCAGAAGGCTACAAGAATTGATGAAATAGCTATGGAAATATAGCAAGCAACAGAAGGAGGATCGGTAGAAGTTCTAATCAACCACGTCATCAAAAAATCTGGAGAACAGCACAGTGACCAATAGATTGGAAGAAATCAGTCTAAATGCCAATACTAAACAAAGCAACTTAACATTAATTGTGACAATCTAAGGTTGCTTTGTATATTCAGTACAAATTAGAAAAGTGGAATTGGAAAGAGAGAGATTATGAGAATATGTTAAAAATAGCTGCAACACATGGCATATCCTACTTCATGTACAGAGTAGAGTTATACAAGAATTCATATGGATTTTAGAAGGTAAGGAATGTACAAGAATGTACTTCAAAAGTTGAATTGAAGTTCCCACGAGCCTCAACCAGAATAGGCAGTTACAAGGAATAGTCAGAGAAGCAATGAACAAGAAGTTCCATTTCTCCACTGCTATTTTACAGCAATAGCCATACTTCATTCAAGTGATCCCCTGAACATCCACCCATCCTGCAATACAGAGATTTTCCTTAGAAAATTGCAAGGATTTTTACTTGTAACTAAATATTTCTTTCCATCTCAGAAATATTTACATGTATACTATACATGCATTTTGCAAATTTCATTGGAAAATCAGGGAGGAGGAAAAATTAGTCAGGAAGGGAGAAAAAGAGGTATCACAGCATTATTCCTTGCATGGGTTTCAGATGTTCTGTCTTAAACTACCTCAGGATTTTGGTCTTTCTTTAGTTCTGAAGTCATATACCAACATAATGTAAATCTCTTGCATAACTAATCATTCTTTCAAATACCTCTATAACAAGTCAATCATCAATCTGTAATCTTGCTTTGGACATTTTGGGGAGCTCATTTCAGGTAGGTAATGAAACCAGCATGTTCTACTGAGAGAATACAGTTATTTTAAAACTTCATGCTACCCTCTTGAGTTCCCCAACATTTTCTTTCATAAAACTGCAAATATAATAATAATAATAATAATAATAATAATAATAAAAAGAATTGAAACAAAGAATAACTGAGCATCTAGAACAGCACAAAAACAACAGAATAAGGCTGCCTGCATTGAAGCTTGTTTCAAAGAAACAGCTAGCACAAGCATTAAAAGATGCAAATACTGCAATAGCAAGTATAAGCACCAATTCACTGCAAGAAACAAACCAACTAATGTACAGCACAGCTGCAGTTATAACTGAATACCTGGGATGCAAAATCAACAAAGAAGAAAAACAAACAAACAGTGCACCACAAAAATGGAAGGTTAGACTAGAAAATAAGATCAGCAAGTTAAGATCACATGCAAGCAAGCTAGAACAGATGAAAGAAAAGAAGCTGAAGAACAAGAAGACCAAAGAATACCTAATCAAGAAATACCACTTAGAAACAAGGAAGATCAAGGAAGCATTGGAAATAATAAAGCAACAAATAACAGCTATAGCCAGGAAAATCAGTAGATATGAAGCTCGAATTGCAAACTATAGGCAAAACCTCCAATTTCAATCCAATCAGAAACGTTTCTACCAATCCATCAATGGAGAAACTGCAAGGAATCAGTCAGTACCTGACAAGGAAGAAACAGTGCAATTCTGGAAGCAGATATGGGATAACCCAAAGAAATACAACAAGGATGCGCTTGGTTAAAAGAGGTGGATGCAAATAAAACAGAAGTTGAAATGAAAGAACTAGTAATAACAACAAAAATGGTAGAAAAAAGAGCAAGAAAAATCAAAAATTGGTCAGCACCAGGTGAAGATGAACTGCATGGGTTTTGGTTGAAACATCTAACTGTTATACACCCACTCATTGCCAAGCAGTTCAACAATATACTACAAGGAGGAGAAATTGAAAAGTGGCTAACAACTGGGAAAACCTACCTAATAATGAAAAACCCAGCAAAAGGGGCAACACCAGGTAACTACAGGCCAATTACCTGCTTACCAACAACTTTCAAATTACTAACTGGTGTGGTAGCTGATGCAGTACAACAGCATCTAGTTGAAAACAATCTCTTTCCACCTGAGCAGAAAGGAAACCGCCCCAATAGCAGAGGAACAAAAGATCAACTCCTAATAGACAAAATGATCTTGGAAAACTGCAAGAGAAGGAAGACCAACCTGAATGTGGCATGGATTGACTACAAAAAGGCATTTGACTCTCTGCCACATGATTGGATAATAAAGTGCCTAGAAATAACAGGAGTCAGTAGAAACATCAGAAAATTTGTGCAAAGATCGATGGCACAATGGAAGACACAGTTGCAGATCAATGGTGAGAAGCTGGGAGAGGTTAATATCAAGAGAGGGATATTTCAAGGAGATTCATTATCACCATTACTATTTGTTATTGCACTGTTTCCTCTGTCAACAATACTGAATAACTCAGGACATGGCTATCAAACATCAAAAACATCTGCTAGACTATCCCACCTCCTCTACATGGATGATCTGAAGCTGTATGGAAAAACATCATCTGAAATAGAATCGCTGCTCAACACTGTCCGTATATATAGCCAAGATATTGTAATGGAGTTTGGCTTGGACAAATGTGCCACACTTACTATCAAACAAGGAAAAATAGTGAAAACTGAAGGAATCAAGATGCCCCACGAAAATAACATTAAGAGTCTGGATGAGGAAGAGTACTACAAATACTTGGGTATCCTTCAAGCTGACAACATCAATCACACTGAAGTCAAGAAAAAGATTAGAGGTGAATACATCAAGAGAGTGAAGAAGATCTTAAAGTCCAAACTCAATGGAGGAAATACCATAAGGGCAATCAACACCTGGGCAATCCCAGTCATTAGGTACACAGCTGGAATAGTGGACTGGACTCAAGCAGAACTAAAAGCAATGGATAGGCAGACCAGAAAAATAATGACAATGAATCATGCCCTTCATCCACGCAGTGACATTGATAGACTTTATCTACCAAGGCAAATAGGTGGGCGTGGAATGCTACAAGTACATCAGATGGTTGAAGAAGAAAAAATGGCTTTGGAAGAATATCTGAAGAACAATGATGAAGATGCACTGAAATTAGTATATCAGGAAGGCTTACTAACTACTGGAGAGACCAAACTGGCCTACAAGAAAGACCAAATGAAGAACAGAATAGAGGCATGGGAAGACAAAGCACTACATGGCCAATACATGAAAAAAATAGCTGGGAAAGCAGATAATAATAAAACCTGGCAATGGCTAAGAGCAGGAAAATTGAAGAAAGAGACCGAGGGACTAATTCTGGCTGCACAAGACCAAGCCTTAAGGACAAATGCATACAAGTCAAAATTGAGAAGACAGCAACAGACAGTAAGTGCCGCCTATGCAAAGAAGCTGAAGAAACAGTGGACCACTGGTAAGCTGTTGCAAGAAGATTGCACAGACTGATACAAGCAGCGGCATGACAAAGTAGCAACAATGGTGCATTGGAAGATCTGCAAAAAATATCATTTGCCTGTAAGCAAAAACTGGTGGGATCATAAAATAGAGAAAGTCATAGAAAATGATAAAATTAAACTGCTCTGGGACTTCAGAATTCAAACAGACAAGCACCTGCAACATAACACCCCAGACTTAACAATTGTCGATAAGAAAGACAAAAAGTCTGGATAGTGGACGTGGCAGTGCCTGGAGATAGCAGAATAGAAGAGAAAGAACTGGAGAAGATAACAAAATACAAAGACCTACAAATAGAAATAGAAAGACTGTGGCAAAAGCAAGCAAGGGTAGTACCAATAGTCAATAGGCTCCTTGGGTGCAATCCCAAAACAACTGGAGCACCACTTGAACACCATTGGCATAGACAAATTCGCTATTAGTCAATTGCAAAAGGCGGCCTTACTAGGAACTGCTTCCATCTTGCGACGATATCTGTAATACCATCAAACATCCACATCTGCCTATCCCAGGTCCTGGGTAAGGACTCGATAGGTAGACAAAATGCCAAATCCAGTCTGAACATCTGGCTGACTGTGCGATGATCCATAATAATAAAAATTTGGAAGGGACCTTGGAGGTCATCGAGTCCAACCCTCTGTTCAGGCAGGAACCCTACACCATTTCAGACAAATGGCTGTCCAGTCTCTTCTTTAAAACTTCCAGTGTTGGAGCATTCACTGTTTCTGGAGGCAGGTTGTTCCATTGGTTAATTGTTCTCACTGTCAGGAAATTTCTCCTTAGTTTTAAGTTGCTTCTTTCCTTGATTAGTTTCCATCCGTTGCTTCTCGTCCTGCCTTCAGGCGCCTTGGAGAATAGCTTGACTCCCTCTTCTTTGTGGCAGCCCCTGAGATATTGGAACACTGCTATCATGTCCCCCCTCGTCCTTCTCTTCGTTAAACTAGACAGACCCAATTCTAGCAACCATTCCTTATAGGTTTTAGCCTCCAGTCCCCTAATCATCTTTGTTGCTCTTCTCTGTATTCTATCTAGAGTCTCAGCATCTTTTTTACATTGCAGTGACCAAAACTGGATGCAGTATTCCAAGTGTGGCCTTACTAAGGCATTGTAAAGTGGTATTAATACTTCACGTGATCTTGATTCTATCCCTCTGTTAATGCAGCCCAGCACTGTGTTGGCTTTTTTGGCAGCTGCAGAACACTGCTGGCTTATATTTAAGTGATTGTCTACTAGGACTCCGAGATCCCTCTCACAGTTACTACTATTGAGCAAGGTACCCCCTATACTATACCTGTACATTTGTTTTTTCTTGCCTAAATGTAGAACCTTAGTTTTTTCACCATTGAATTTCATTTTGTTAGATAGCGCCCAGTGTTCAAGTCTGTCCAGGTCCTCCTGTATCTTAAACCTGTCCTCTGGAGTGTTGGCTATTCCTGCCAGCTTGGTGTCGTCCGCAAATTTGATGAGTTCTCTATCTATCTATCCCCTCGTCCAAATCATTGATGAAGATGTTGAAGAGCACTGGGCCTAGAACAGAGCCCTGGGGCACCCCACTATACACTTCCCTTCATGTAGATGCAGTTCCATTGAGTACCACATGCTGAGTACAGCCGGTCAGCCAGCTATGAATCCATCTGGTGGTGATGTTGTCTAACCCACATTTTTCTATCTTATCGAGTAGTAGGTTGTGATCTACTTTATCAAATGCCTTACTGAAGTCCAAGTAAATTATATCCACAGTATTCCTCTGATCCACTAATTTTGTCACTTTGTCAAAGAATGCAATAAGATTTGTCTGGCATGATCTGTTTTTGACAAACCCATGTTGGCTTTTAGTAATGATTTTGTTTGCCTCTAGGTGTTCGCTGATTTGTTGTTTGATTATCTTTTCCAGGATCTTCCCAGGTATTGAGGTCAGGCTAATAGGTCTGTAGCTTCCTAGATCTATTTTTTTTTCCTTTTTTGAAGATGGGAACTACATCAGTTCTTTTCCAGTCCTCTGGTAGTTCCCCAGTGCTCCAAGATCTTTAAAAAATATAGTTCAGTGGTTCTGAGATCACATCTGCCAGTTCCTTGAGAACCTTGCAGTGTAATCCATCTGGTCCTGGTGATTTGAACTCATCTAGGCTGGACAGGTGTTCATTTATCATTTTCTTGCCTATCTTAACTTGTGTTTCTGTACTGGTTTTTATTAATTACTGTAGTTAAGCCTATATACAAAAAGAAAGTTGCTAAAAAGTTCTTTAGATATAGAAATCAGAACAACAGTTGGAATGAAAGGCTTACCAAAGCAAATCTTGATTAGCAGTCCAAGATACAAAATCTAGTGACACCATTCCATTCGTGCCACAGTTTCATATGCAAGCTGTATTTTAGTAATTTAATTTTGAGATCCTTAAGGCATGCACAACTTTTGATAGTCAAAATTCAGTTGGAACACTTGCCACATTTACAATTGATTTCACTGGAAAAATTAAATATTAGGAAATTCTGTTATCACAATCAAAAATTCACTAAAAAAGAAAAAAAACCAAAATATTTTCTAAATATTAAGGGAAAGAAGCATATGTTCATTTGTACAAAATCACAGAGCTGTTGCCTTCATAAATTGAGCCAAATGAGCATCAGAGCGATGCCTACTAAACAAAGGGTTGGGATCTGGAATGAGTGTAAGTTCTGGTAATTACTGGAGATGCAGAGGTCAAAAAGATTGCCTTCAAATTTGAGTTTTCTAGATTCCTTTTTCAACTTTTGCCAGACAGTCACCATCTCCTTCTGGCACACCCGAAGTGTAGCCATCGCACAATTATGAAATTCATTCCAATATCTGCAAAAGGAAGAGTAAACCATAAATTATTTGCCATCAACAGAAGAGAATATTGTAGCTCGGGGTTGAACTGTGGGGTCCTTGGTGTTCTCTGAGATCCCACGAAGTGGAGAGAGCACTGAGGACTCCGCAGTTCTTTGCCACAAAAGTCACAGATAGACATGGGCCATCTATGAAGAACATAACCTGTCTATCCATCTGCCCATTCACCATCCATCATAATATCTAGTTAATTGGTCCATGCAATTGTGATCTACTTTAGTTCTTTTTTTTAATTAAATGATCTGCTTTAATTCTATCCATTCTGGAAAGCCAACTCTGGGAAGCAAAGAAACCTCATATAATGACTATAATTAATATATACTTCCTCTGTACAGAATCTTTTCCAGTACACAGGAGGATACTGTTCCAAGTATGCAGCAGGATCTCTACAATAATCCTAATGGAGTGAAATGTTAGTGCCTGCCATACAAGACCATACACTCCAGAAAGGTTTATCTAGTCAAGAATGGGAAATTTTCTGATGGGTGGGGGCATTACAGGGAAGTCAAAACAGGCAACTAAATAAATAGAATCCCACAGGTTGATGAAATTGCTATTTTCTGAGGGTTTTTCATTTTTTTAGGTTGAGCATGTTTCCATACCTGTTCAACTAAAGCCTATTTTAGGGCTTCAGTAACTTCAGTAAGATGAAGAGGTAACCCTTCATCTAGGTGTTTTTTAACTTTGGGTGAGTCGACTTAAACTCCCAATCCATCCATCTTAAAGTTGCCAAGTTTAAAAAACTCTGATCTATGTGGATGCAGACCTTCAAAGCCTATTTCTTTTCTCCTCTTGTTTATTTACCAAGATTAGAACTCATGGTCTCCTGGTTTCTAGCCTAGTGCCTTAACCACTACACCAAACTGATATATTTACAATTGTATATTGTGCTTTCATATATTGTGCTTTTATAATGTGCTAAAGCAGCCTTAGTGAAACTGGTATTTTCCAAAAGTATTGTTAAAACTTGCGCACTGAGAGCAAGAAATCGTGTTGGTACCACTTTAAACCACGAATATGGATATTTTTAGACTTTAAGAGAAATTTTTATTTAAACAACCCATCACTATACATTCTTACTATATTCTACATCAATGTAATAGTTTTCTCCATTTATTTTTATTTTATACATTGAAATCCATAATAATAAACCATTATAAAATTGACAAGATAGCTTTTGCCAACTTGCATGAAAAATATTAAGCCATTGAATGATTTCAAATATTAAATTATCCTTTGGAGGGAGCCTCCACCATGTGGTGGTGCCCAGGGCAATTTCTTTTCCCTTAAAAAGTCTCTGTAATCACTCTAAAGAGCCTCTAATTGACTGCCAACTGTCAAGAACTCATTAAATAGAAGAAATGTGGTAGAAGAAATCTTCTGAGACAATAATGAGAGAGATTGGTATAAAACAAGGTAAACTCTGTTTTGATTTTCTATGGTTGTTTCCTCCAAATCCTGCAGCAATGTAGTAGGGGTGGGTAGAGTAAGGGAGAAGCAATCCAGTATGAAAGCAGTTGGATGTTACTTGGTTCCATATTAAAAAAACAAAAAGGAAGGAGGAGTAACTAGTAAGGACTGAAGTGGCAATTTGTCAGAGGACACCAATTCAGAATTCTCTCTTTTCATTCTTTCCCTTTCAACTGGATAATTTCAATTTCCCAATGCCTGGTTTTACAGACTTTATTTGTTTGGAAATCAAACTATGTCACATGTCCTGTCAGTTCTAGATTTTGGGGGTTGTTGCACAATTTAACCCCCCAAAGGCAAATAAACCAAAACAAAACAACCCTAATTTCATTATACATCATTTTACAAAAAAAAATAATTCTAATCATATCTGTCACTTTTTCTTCTTGTAGACAGAGAAATACAGAAGCTTCCTCAGAAAAGGTGCTAGTTTTAGTTGCACAGCAGTACTGTAGAAGGAAGACTAAGATTTTTGTCTTTGTCTGATTCAAGCCTTGTATTATAATAATAGGGATTTCGCTTATCTTGTGCTAAAACCCTTCAGGAACCCTAATTGTTCCTGATGCAGAGGTACTAGGAAGACTTAGAGGTTCAAACAACAGAGTGTTTTTTTCATAAAGAGGAAAAAGAGTTAGAAAAATATAATACGGGAGCAGGAAAATGCCAAAAAGTCTCCCTACCAACCAGCAAATGTGCTGTCTGCTAGGAATCTATGGGACCAGTATAACATGGGTATGGAGGGACAAATTTTTCAGTAAAGTATCCATATATTATTTAATGATTTGCTTATTTCTTTGCCTTAAACCCCATCCTCTAATACTGGCAAATACTCAAAGTGGCTAACCAAATTTATGAAAAACAAGCACAGAACATAAAAAAGTTTTAAACAAATTAAAATTATCCAGGTCATTAATTGTTCATCATTGAACAATTAAGAACCTCGCAAAAAGATCAACATTTTTTTTCTAAATATTGAGAGGTTGGGGCAAATATAACTCCTGAGCAACAGCATCCTATCCACTGGGAGCTACACAAGAGCAGGACTTTTCAGTCAAGAACCAGAAAAATAACCCAATAGGGCATTTTCAAAAGGACTTTTCCTGCACACCAGGTTTCGATAATTGTACCCTAAGTTATATAGGGCTTTAAAAGCCAAGACCAACATCTTAAATCGTGCTTGGCACGTAGTTGGCAATACTGCAGATCTTTCAAACTGGGAACTATGATTCCTCTATCTTGCATCAGCCTAACTATACATTTTACATCAAGCTGTACTCCGCAATAGCTCCATTCTTTTTTTCCGCCTGTGGGAAAAAAAAATATTACATTCCTCATCTTTGCTTTTTCTCAAGGTTGCACATTGTCATATTGTTCATTGTTCATGAGTGTAAATGTGTTCCTTCAGCACTGAATCAAGAACCTCTTTCATTTTCCAATGGTTCTTTAGACAAACTTCATTATCAGTCTATTGGTTTATTTCCTGTTATATTCTGTACCATTGTTTTGCATTTCTTTACATCTTGAATATGCAAACAGGCCTTATATGCCAGCACATATTTAAGTTTGAAGGTTCTTCTGGTAACTGATTTTTCTTTCTTTTCAAAAAAATTGAACTGAAATTTAGAAAACCTTGCTCTATTCTGTGATAGATGAGGGGAAAAACCAAAATCCAAATAGCTTTGGCATTTTTTTTTTTTTTTTTGAATCTGTCAGCCCCTAAAGGTAGAGCAAATTAAGAAATGTATATACATCCGGTCTATTTTTATTTTAAAACTTTAATACTGTAATAGAATCTTGCAAGTCTGAATGTACTTCCCCCTCCCTCACTTTATCTTTGTGTGAGGAGGGGCTTTTCTGAGACATTTTTCTCAAGTTAGTGGCTCTTCCTCCTGTCCTTCTCTATTCCCAATACACAATCTGAAGTAAGTGTATCTAGCTTTCAACATCCCACTTTAGCTGCAGTGGTGGACTCATAAGCATCTTCACTGCCATTGTCTTGTATAAATGACTTTGTATAAATCTCTCCCTATTGTCCTTAACTCCACCTTCCCTATTGAAAAAAAGTACTGGGGATAATAATATTGAATGATGTGGCAGGATTGTTGGGAGAAATAAAATAATACTTTGAAAGTGCTTGTAATATTTGAAAGCACTGTGCAATCTTAACTTCTGTTCCTCTTGGTCACAGAGTCGGCTTCTTTTGCATTATGCTAGCTTAGTTCACACGGCAAAGCTAGCAACGCATGATGCTACAAGAGGTTTTGTTTCCCTGCCAGCTTGTTGCAAAGCCTAATACTGAGTAGGGCTGAGAGGGAGTGACTGGCCCCTGGTCACTCAGCTGGCTTCCACGTCTAAGAAAGGACATGAATCTCTCCAGTCCTAATCCAACATCTTAACCATTACATCAGGCTGGCTCTCTTGAAAGCACTATACGGATAGTCCTCAACTTACAACAGTTCATTTAGTGACCACTTGAAGTTAAAATGGCTTTTAAAAAAGTGACTTATGGTCATTTTTCACACTTTTAACATTTGCAGCATCCCTATGGTCACGTGATCCGAATTGGGATCCTTGGCAACTGATTCGTATTTATGAGGCTTGCAGAGTCCTGGGGTCATGTGATTAGCTTTGGCAACCTTCTGACAAGCAAAGTCAATGGGGAACTCAGATTCACTTAACAACCTTGTTACTAATTTAACAACCGCAGTGATTCCCTTAACAACCGTGGCAAGAAAAGTCATAAAATGGGACAAAATTCACTTAACAAATGTCTCACTTAGCAACAGAAATGTTGGGTTCAAGTCGAGGACAACCTTGCACAGTAATCTGTACCATCATCATCACCACTATCTAGTAGTAGGATTCTTTACATCAGATTCCCTTCTTCTGTCCTCTACCAAATGCTTATTTTTCCTTTATTAATCCCTTCACTTTATTACATGAAAAATGTCTTTGCCTCTTCTATCTGGTCGTTTTGTCAGCTTCTAATCTAGTTTATTGTGGCTTCTGCATTCCCCATCTCAATAGTTCTTCTCACACAGTTTTGGCAGGATGATGCTTCTCCAGAACTTCTGCCTCTTTCCTTGATTGTTTTGTACACTTCCTGGTTTGTCTATAGGTTTGCTCAGTCCAGCGTTTCACCCTTGGAACTTTCAATGATCTGCATCTATCTCTACAATTCCTTTCTTCCTTCCCATTCCCTTGTCTGCTTACAATCAGTTCTCTACTCAGACTTGCTGCGAGCTAAATTTCAAACATCTTGATGCTTTTGCTATTTTACTGCCTTCTTCTTGCACTTGATTAGATTAAAGATAAACAAACAGCTGTGTCTGTATTCTCCTCATTCCTCTGGCTGTGAAGCTGCCCAAGGTGACAAACCAAGCCTGGCAAAGAACAGTGGGCATAACAAAAGACTACCATTATGGTTAATATTGGTAGTTAGAAAGTGCGTAGTTTAGAGTCAAAGAGGATTGCAGACCCAGGAAATACAAGAAGCATCACAAAACAAATGATAAAGCTATATTAATTGAAACTTTGAAGGTTATGGTATTAAAGTGAGTGGAGAAATTATGCAAGCTAAAGAATGAATTCCATCCTAGGACTATAGCCCTAACTCCATACCATTCTCTCCTCATAGTTGTCTTAAATCAAAGAAATGGATACCGGAAAATCTAATCATGTTATATCCAGGATTGAAGGGCACTGATAGGCTGAAAGCTACCACATGAGTTGGTAGCCAATCAAAACTGCTCAGGCTCAAATTGTGTTCATAGAAGCAGGTTTCTTAAAATTCTAGTATGGTACCCCATTCTTTCCTTGAAAGCAAATGCATGTTTCATAGGAGGCAGCAGAACTGGCTTTGACTTTGCTATCTACAAAATGACATTTCAAATTGTGATTAGAATCTAGTTTTGTAACATGTCAGTAACGGACAGCAAGCCCTTCTCAACAGTGAAGGATTCGTTCTCTTGTATTGGTACTAACTTCAAGTAGTCTTTTGCTTTCAATTGATGGTTGTCTTTGATGAAGTGCTTATGATAGCACTTCCTATGATAAAACATGGTAGATCCAAGCCAGTTTCAAAAGAAAGTTCCCTTCCATTTTTGTGGTTCCTATGGCTAAGCAGAAAGATGGAACCATTTTCTGTGGGTAATACAATTTGCTAGCCAACTGATAGACATGAGACCAACAACAGTGCTATGCGAGTGGAAACCTTCACTTTTTCTACTAGTATTTGGAGAATATTCAATGGAAACATTCACAGAGGAGAAAGGGGAAGGGGATATCAGTCAGGTAGGCAGGACAAGAAGCAATGGATGGAAGCTAATCAGTGACAGAACCAATCTTGAATTAAGGAGAAATTTCCTGACAGTTAGAACAATTAATCAGTGGAACAGCCTGCCTCCAGACATTGTGGGTCCTCCAACAATGGAAGTTTTTAAGAAGAGATGGGGTAGCCATTTGTCTGAAATTGTATAGGGTTTCCTGCTTGAGCAGGGGGTTGGACTAGAAGACCTCCAAGGTCCCTTCCAATTTTGTTATTCATTATTCTAAATGGACTAAAGAGACAATTGTATTCAAGATACACATCACGATAGCATATTCCCACAGTACATTTCAGAGGTTTACTGCTCACCCACAAACAACCTGCAATCCTTGCAGCAGACTCTGGTTCACTTCATCTTCTTCAGCTTCTTCTTCATATTTAGCCATGTTTTCTCCTAATTTTAAGATACATCCAGAGAAATCTTGATAAATATTTTCACACTGAGTTTCTGCTGTCAGTAACTTGAGCAAGTATCCTGCAAATGGAAAGGGGATTAGTGTAACATCTAATAGCACACATGTTTTTCCAGGCACATCATCTAAAGACCAAAAGCAATTTCCCTTAAATAAGAAACATAAAATAGATGTGTGCAACACACACACACACACACACACACACAATGGTCATCATATACAAGAGGCAGAACCAAAATTAAGTACTAGATAGAATTCTGCTTCAAACATTTCATTAAGCCATAATGTCATTATCATATCATTTGAAAGTCACAGTGTATGGTTTATTCAAACAAACTATAGCATGGCATAGTAAGAGACAATTTGGTTGACAAGATCAGTGTTAAGGATTTTGACCTGGAATATATGATTTCCAAAGGAGGGACTAAACAATGAGCTGAGCCAGTATTATCTCTTGTAAACTGCCCTTGTTTTTACAAGGCTATTTAAAACGTAAAATGGGGGGGGGGAGATGAGTTTGGTATTTAAAAAAAAAAAACCAGCCATAAAGAATAGGATGAATCAGTACATGAACTGAAAAGTAAACTTGCTTCATTTTGAATTTGGTGCCCCCGCTTTTGAAAAGTCTCACCAATTTACCTGAATTCTTAAAGTGTTCCTTGGAAAGTTTTCCTTGGAAATGAGGCAATGAATTTAAACAAGTTTGCAGTTAGAAGTTGTCCATCACTAACACTATCCTGGGCTCTTCTATCATCTTATCAATTTCGGGAAGTTAGCAGAGGAACGTTTCCCGTAATCTTCTAGCGATGCAGAGAAAGATGAATAACCTCAATTCTTGCTAGAAAAAAAGTTCCCTTTATCCTTTCGCCCCAACCATGCCCCCACCCAGAGGATGCCGTTCCCGCTGGACCGGCGTCCGCGATCGGGACAAGATTTGGGCTTACCCAGCGTGATGAGTAGCAGCGCCGTGCCCGGTCGGAGTGCCATTATCGCCGCTGTGGCTGCCTTGTTTAGGGGCTCCGAGTAAAGTGGGTCGCCGCCACCGGCAGCCCGCCCATTCCTCTTCCCCGGGGAGGAGACGAGGGGCTTCTCGACCTCCCGACGAGAAAGACAAGGCGGGAATTGACCCTGGCCAAGCTCCGCCGGCGCTTCCACCCCGCGGGGAAAGATACCGCGATTCCCCCCTCGGTGCGCGCTTGCTCTGCTTCTGCTCTCGCTCCGGAGGGCCGGGCTCTCTGGCGCTGAGGGCAGGGCAGACCTTGCCCAGGTGCTTTGCGGAACGGCCAGGCGAGAGAGGCACGGAGGAGGAGGAGGAGGAGGTCGCTGGACGAGGGAGGCAGGGAGGCAAGAAGAGGGACAGGGCAGCACAAGCCCCCTTCCGAGCAAATGGAACCGAATCCATTCCGATCAGCTCCAGCCATGTGATCTTAGCCCCAAGTCCCGGCGCAGGTTCCAAAAAAAGGATTGGGATCTGGAGTAGTCACATCAACTACTGCGACATCCATTAGATCCAGCCGATCCTCAGGGGTGATGGGAATTGCAGGCAGTCTTCCACTTAGGACCACAAGCGAGCCCAACATTTCTCTTGCTAAGTGAAACGTTTGTTAAGTGAATTTTGCCCCATTTTTCAACCATCTTTTGCCAACGTTGTTAAGTTGAATCACTGCAGTCGTTTAAGTTAGTATCATGATCGTTAAGTGAATCTGACTCTCCCACTGACTTTGCCTATCGATCGCATGATCACGAGACACTGCAACCGTCATAAATAGGAACCACTTGGCAGGCATCTGAATTTTGATCATGTGATCATGGAGATGCTGCAACAGTTGTAAGTGTGAAAAACGGCCATAAGTCACTTTTTTCAGTGCTGTTGTATCCTTGAACAGTCACTAAATGAACTGTTGAAGACTACCTGTACAATCCCAAACACCCAAAGAATACCATTTTAGACTTAATTCTACATGGTATGCTTATCAGATACTTTATCAGTTTTGAAAACCACCACTCAGCTTTCCCTACTGCTGTTTTTCTGGAGGATATCAAATTGGAGAAGGTTACTGTACAAGTGGCCATAGTCACTGTAGTGAGGATCTCTGGTTCCTTCCCAGTGTACTCCATCTTCTCTTATTAACCTGGTTCTATTGAAATGGGTAAGCCATTGTGCAGAGTTTCTGAGTTGCCTTGTGTTACCTTTGGAACTGAATTCAACCCCAATAGTCCACAAATTAGTAGCTTCCCTGAATTAATATTAGCAATATTGTAACACTTTTTTTTCCTCTCTATTTTTCTTTTATTCAAAAGAGAATAAAGAGAAGAGGAGTTATTATCTTTGAAATGCATTTATCAGCATTCAACCAAGGGGGACAATTTAGGTATATGTTGGTTTTGTTTTGTCAATGGACGTTTTTGTAGTATTGTTTAGTTTGTTTTATTTTTGTATTGTTTTTTATATTTTAATAATACTATAACATTTTTGACTAGCATTCCAAGCCATAATTCTAAATTTCCTAATTCTGTTTAACTAGTTCATCCTAAAGTTCAATAGCTTGGCAAAGAAGTCAGAGGCAGTTGCACATGTTCAGGATGTACCCGATCAGAATCTACCCATTCAGAATATGTGAAATTAATTTTGAGTAGGTTTATGAATCAGAATAGATAATATAGAAGATATGCCTCTAGCCAAATTGTAGGAACATCTCTAATTACTAAAATGTCTTAACTCAGTCTTAACTCCTATTAATCCTCCTTTTGAAGTCCTCAGTAGCCCTATTTCAGATGCTGGTGCAGTTAAAGCAAAAGATTAAGGCTGATTTTAGTCTTCTGCTTCTGATCCTCACGAAACATGTTGGTATTGATTGAACTGGCTCTCCTACAGAGCATCCTTTGCATGCATCCTGTTGAGCTGTAAGATGGCCCACAGCTCTGGGAGAGATTTGCTGGCTCTGGTACCTGCCTCTAATAGCAGCTCAATTTGTAGGAGGTGGTGACAAGATGCCAACTAACTTGCAGCCTTCTCAATTCTTTTAAACTGCTATTAAAAAGACAGGCACTCTTAGATCATTGGCTGGAAGAGCACAATATCCTAGATCAGTGGTTCTCATCCTTTTTTTCCGTGGACCACTGATTGAGAACCACTGTCCTAGATATTTCTAGCATTAGTGACCTGGGGAGCCAGTGTGCCTGCAGACAATTTCTTTAGTTTCCTGCTTTATCTGACTTTTTTTTAAAATTTTTGAAATAATTTTTGAAATAAGGTTCCCAACTGCCAATCTTCAGCATCAAGTTTCTTTGTAAGAGGTTTCTAGATGTATGGCTCCAGTTGAATCCTTTGGCTAGAAATGTATACACTTGTCTAGGAAAACAGCAAAGGTAAACAGGTGGGAAGCATGGATGGGGGGAGTCAAAATTTAGACAGAAGTCTAGTAAATCAGTGTTTTGTAGGTGCTTATGTTTCTCATGGCCAGCATGTTATGCATAGAAGTTCTTAAATTATCATTTCCAAATGTGCCATTATATATTCTGTTGGATCTATGTCTTCAAGTCAATGTTGATTCCTGGCAAGATTAGTCCTTGTAGTTTTCTTGGCAAGATTTCAGAAGCGTTTTGCCAGTGCCTACTTCCTAGGGCTGAGAGAGGGTGGTTGACCCAAAGTCACGCAGCTAGCTTTAATGCCTAAGACAGGACTGGAATTCACAGTCTCCAGGTTTCCAGCCTTTAACCACAATACCAAACTTGTCCTCATAATTAATCCTATAAAAGCTTAGAGATTCCTGCACAATGGTAAAATATGATTGGCTCACTGTGTTGCACAAATAGAGGCAATTGGGATTAATCAATAAATCCCAATCCAGTTAAGGCTGCTGTATTAGAGTAATGCTCTTTCCTGGCTAAGTGACAACCCTGTTCTGGGCATATTTTTTGAGGGAGGTGCTGCTGTAAAAGCTCACTTTAGCCTCTCCAGTATAATTTCTGTTACATGTAAATGATGCTGATGCAAGAGAGAAGTCATTTCCACATTCCAGCTGGTGCCCATGATTACATTGCACAAGGCAGCCATACAAAAACACTAAATATCCTAAATATTTAGGATATCCTGTAAATATCCTAAAATGTTGGCCCATTGAGGAACCTGAGGTCATTTATTGATGAGAAAACCCTAGAGAGCAGACAGTTTTATTCTGCATACACACCGATGAGTACTAAGTTTATTTAATAAGCAAACCATATCACTTTTTCAGATCAAGGAAGTTATCTTGCAAAATCAGAATACTAAGAGAAATGTGTTTTCATAGAATTAGAGAGTTGGAAGAGACCTTAGAATCTAGCCCATCCCTCTGTTAAGTGCGGGAGCCATGCGGGCAGATGACTATTCAACCTTAATTTGAAGGAGAGATCACCCCCTCTCTTGAAGGCATTCCACTGGGTAATAGTCAGAATTTCTTCCTTACATATAGTTTTCCTTGTGTTTTAATCCAATGGTTCTGGACCTTGCCCTCTTGGGCATTAAGGAATCACTTCCTTCTGTGTCACAGTCCATCAAGTATTTGAACATTATCATGTGCTTCTCTTCAGTCATCTCTTCTGTAGACCAAATATATAAGAGCCGTGGTGGCGGAGTTAGAATGCAGTATTTCAAGCTAACTTTGCCCACTGCCAGGAGTTCAATCCTGACCGATTCAAGGTTGATTCACCCTTCCATCCATCTGAGGTCGGTAAAATGAGGACCCAGATTGTTGCGGCAAAATGCTGACTGTAAACCACCTAGAGAAGGCTGTAAAGAACTATGAAGAGGTATATAAGTCTAAGTGCTATTGCTATATCATAATTTTTTAACTGTCACACATAGAGCTTAGTTTTCAGACATCTTATCTTCTAAGTAGCCCTTCTCCTAACTTACTCCAATTTGTCACTGTCTCTTTTAAATTGTGGTGTCCAGGACTGACCGTTTTTTAAATGGGGCTGCAGCTTTGCCCCACCAGCTGACATACTTTTTCTCCATATTTCCTACATAAATTATGTTGCTTAATATGGTCATGAAACATTTGTAATCCTAATACCGAGTTCAGACAATACATAGCCATATACTGCAATCTGTTCTTCAGAAAGAACAGGAACATTTATAACAATTTGGACACTGGGAGAAAGTATAGTTAAATCAGTCCTGAGCAAGGACTTGGCTCCCACACTTTTAATCTTCCAAAAGGCACTCAAGACCCAACCTCTATTTTGAGGAGCCCTGGTGGGGCAGTGGTTAGAGCGCAGTATTTCAGGCAAACGCTGCCCACAACCTGGAGTTCAATCCTGACGGGGCTCAAGGTTGATTCAGCTTTCCATCCTTCTGAGGTTGGTAAAATGAGGACCCAGTTTGTTGGGGCAATATCTAAATAATGCTGAGATTGTAAACCACCCAGAGAGTGCTGTAAAGTGCTATGGGGCAGTGTATAAATGCTATTGCTATTTTCCCCCATATGCTGGGATAGAGGCTGGGGAGATGAAGTTGTTGTGGACTGAATGGAAAAGTTTAGCTGTGGTGCCAGGTCTCTTTTAGTTATGGTGCGATAGAAAGGGTATCAACAGTATTATTGGTCAAGATAGGCAAAACCTAAGGAACCCCCCCAGACTACAAATCCCATAATCGTTGACCTTATTCCCATTCCTTGGCCTGAATAAGCATGCACAGTTTATTGCAAACTGCAGACAAGTTTTGTATTTGAAGGATGATCAATAACCCGTTTATTGCAGGAATATGAGTTAATAGGGCACTTAATAGATCTATCTCTTCAGGGTTCTTCTTACTACAGTATCTTCAGAGCATCTGAAATGAGCTGTCAGTCCGGTCAATCCAGTTTCTTAAAAGAGAAAATGTGGCAGGGGAATGCTCACATGTAAGACTTCCAAACCAAGGTTCCAAAATTCTACCACTGCTATTATTTATTGTTAACGTTAAAGTTTAATCCCTCCTGTTTCTTTCTTTTGCCTGTGGCAAACACATTTTTCATCTACTTAGACTTATCAAAATCACTTAATGATCATCCCAAAGATATTCATCAAAGCCTTTCTTTTAAATCTGGGGGGGAACCACCTGATTTTATTTACTTTTTAAAAAAATGTTTTTAACTTTAAAAATGTAGAAAATTACCATCATGCAGAGTAAAGCTTCGGCCTACAATATCACATAGGTCTAAGAGATGTTTCTAAGAAATAAAAATGGAGGGTGACTTATAGCACATCCTTCAGTTTTGTTTGGGTGTGAATCAATTTGGTAAAAGAAAAAGACAGAGTTATCTGGAGATCAATAGCAACCGTCTTGAGAAAGAACTACAGAAGTCAGTGAGAAGCAGCCCACCACTCTGCTTTCTGCTAAATGTTGTGGGGGGGGGGGGAAACACAGGGAGGGAGGAATTGCCTTAACCTCATGGTAATTCTTTTTGGGAGAGTGCCTACAAGATGTTCTCAAAATTAAACTGTGACCACCAGTCCTAACGGAATAGCCTGTCTCCGTTTTAATTCCTTGCAAAAAGTCTTGCAAGAAATAAAAGTAAACTCTTAATTGTAAACGTGCTTCCTCAATCTGAGAAGGCAAAGATATTCCCCTTTTTGGTTGCCAGTTGGTTCAGCAACTCTGTTCTTTGTGTTTTCATTTCTAATAGACCCTAAGTTATTGATATGGCTATTCATTACTTTAATGAATCTAACTCCTCTTGATGAATGAGATCAGGTGAGGACTTTGAAGCTTGCTGTTTATACAATTTCTGAGACTCTGTCCTTGTTCACTTCAAGAGTAAGCAGGATGGGAATAACCACAGAGACATTGTAGTAACTGGGGAATATTCCCAGAGTGCTTCAGAGTAAAGTGCTGCAGCTACTGACAAGATTCCTAATGAGACTCAAGCCTGACTTTTAGGCAAAACCTGGCTTCTGTGGCAGGCATGAGTTTCTTTAAGAGACTCTCTACCCTACACAACAATAATTGAAGTTTGGTTGCTCACAGAATATGACTTCTGACATTCTGAATAATTGATGGTGGTGATATGTTCCAGGGTCTCATTACATGATCTGGTGCAGCAGGGCTTGGTCCACCTCAGAGCTGAAGGTCTACAGAGCACTCTGGGTGCTGGCATATGGAACCGTTGAGGCAAGCCTTTCAAGGAGAGTGCCTCATAATGTTCTGAGGTCGAAGCCTTTAAGGACGTCTCAGGAAAACAACCATCTTCCACTTCTTTGTCAATAGACCGCTTAGCAACATCCATGGCAGGCTCAATGACCACATTAGCATTAGGACTCAGATTATCTTCAGAGGTGATGCTCATCCTGCCATATAAGCAGAATGGAAGCATTATTATGGAGCTGCATTCTGGTTTGCTCTATCTTCCTACCATGGAATATAGAAAGATTGTTGGCTTATTCTTTGGAACCACCCATTGAATTGATATTTGGCTTTACTAATAATGTAATCCCACAGACTGGTATCCTCTGGAAGTACTAAGACTGCAGCTCTAAGCCAATTTGGCCAACGAAGAGCTGTAATTCCAGTATACTTGCACTTACCAGATTGGCTGGTTTAAATTTTGACAGGTATCAAGTTAATTAAAATGGTATAATTTCACTAATACATTTGAAATCTATGCCATAGCCTTTCTGACTGAACTGGGAAGATCTTTTGTACTATTGCTTTCTATGGAGAGGGCCATATGAAGTTCTATTGCAATTCTTGAATTGATCATGTTTCTTTCCCATCCTTCCCTGATATCCAGTGGCCACTGTGAGGTCAAATAATAAATTGGCCTCTGAACAACTACTTTCACAACAATGAAATAACAGGGATATCTCAGGTCTATAGGAAGTTAAAAAAAAAACATTCCCAGAATAAGAGAGTGTACATCATTTTCATATTATTGCCAAGAAAACTATTATCAGCTCAACTCAAGAGAACCTTTACTTCTCTTGGTAGTGATTTTTAAAAACATCTCACTTTAATGATCCGACTTTGTCCCATTTGTGCAAAATGCACACACAAAAAAATATCAATTATTCTCACTTACCCAGAAATGGAAGTTGAGCTCCTCAATGGCTTCTCAAGCACTAGCATTTTCAGGTATTTGTGGGCTAATTCACAAAGCCACTTAATTCTGCGGTTCTGGCTCTTGAACATTTTCAGTAGAACCAATTTCTTCATTATCTACCGGAGTTTGCAGAGAAACAAGGTAAGTTTGCAAATGCATTCTACTGTTTTCTGCTCTGGACCACATTCCATGTTGTAATGGTTAAAAGTGTAGGAGTGAAATGTCTTTCTGATGACTGTGAGAGAGATGAGACCATAAGGGATGTTGGGAGATGCCTTCCTAGTCCCACGCGCCCAACACCACCTTTCTATCAGGTGCACAGATTTGCTCCTAACTATGCTGTTGCAAATTCCCGTTTCTAGTGTTTTGTATTCAGCTAAAAGAAATAAAAAATCTTCTGAGGAAATTGTACATTGTGGACAGGTTTATGAGAAGTCTCCTCCGAAGATGAAAAACTTTGATATCAGGTTGTCCTGTGATTCTCATAGTGAAACTCACAGGATGAACAAGGAATGTCAAGATTTGACAACTGCTGGAGATGCTATACCAGTGATGGCGAACCTTTTAGAGACCGAGTGCCCCAAAACCGGCCCGATCCCTGGCCCGACCCTGATCTGCCCCCCGCTCCACCCGCCCACCGGGCCACTTATCACAGATTCCCAGGCAGTCTTACAGCACCATGGCGGCCATGCCCTCCACCTGCACCCCACAGCAACATCTGCACATGATGGGGCGCAAGGGCAGAGTCTTGCCCCTGCTGCCCAGCTGCCATGTGTTTGGTTGCACTGTTCTGCATGGGCTATGTCTGGGGGAGCCTCTCCTCCAGGCAGGCTGCTGGTGAGGAGGGGGTTGCAGGGGGAGGCGGGGTTGGGGCAACAGCATGTGTGCCCACAGAGAGAGCTCCAAGTACCACCTCTGGCACGCGTGCCATATGTTCACCACCACTGTGCTACACAGTGTTATCATGAGATGAGAGCACATTGTAGAACCTATGCTCATTCTTTTCAGATTATGAAGGTGGAAGAGATTGGCAAATTATGTGGATTTGCTGTCAAACAGTTCCAGGATTCTAAAATTAAGTTGCCACTGCCACAAAGAATGATGTGCCATCAGTATGCTTCATTACCAAGAGACCAAATTCATTCTTCTAAATGTAGGCTTGATTATTATGCTCCAGATATCAATACAGTTCTTTCTGAACATTTTGAATGATTTTCCTCCAGAATCATTTTAGGTGCTCCAACACTGGAAGGTTTTAAGAAGATATTGGACAACCATTTGTCTGAAATGGTATAGGGTTTCCTGCCTGAGCAGGGGGTTGGACTAGAAGATCTCCAAGGTCCCTTCCAACTCTGTTATACTGTTATTTACAAAAACAAAAAATCCTGGATGAGGTCTAGAGAGTTTGCCGTTAGCCAGATATTCACTAGGTGGCCTTGGGCCACTCACAGTCTTTCAGTCCAATCTATCTCACCAGAAGACAGTGTGATGTGAGTATCCTATAAAAGCCTGAAGAAATGAGGTATTTGGGGTTTTTTGTTTTGTAATCTAACAAATAATGTTGCTTCTTCCCAAACCATTCTACGCCTAATTTAGGATTTGACTCATAATTTGACCAAGAGAAGATCACAGCTTATATGTAGTCCCTGAAAGTCCTTTTGGTGGATGGTTTTCTCCCTTCCTTCATTCATGCTCTCCCCTCTATTTTGATTCTTAGCTATTATAAAGCTGTCTAACCTAACTTAAATTTGAGGGAGAAAGGAAGAAATGCCATCTTACCCTTTTGAGTTGGTTTATTACTTGCACTAAATTGCTTATCTGTGGTACTTCATTTATCACATCAATTATCTGGGAAACGGAAAAGGAGAAGGAGAGGGAGAGAGGGGAAGGAAGGAAGTTATGGGAATAAGAGAAAAAGACATATGATTAATAGCAATAAAGTATTAGAACAGCCTCATCCAATAAATTAGGCTAATTCTATAATATCGAATGACCCCTCCCAACTATATACCCTTCCCAAAAATAACTTAAAAGAGTTCAAAATATCCAAGCTTAGTATTTGGTGCAAATGTAGCCCCTAGATCTTTAATTTAACTTGCCATAAAATTGCTTTAAAATGTTCTGAAACAAATATATAGAATGGCTTTCCCCAACAAGGTGGGGAAATTTTGTTGAAAATACAAACACCAGATCTCTGAACCCGCATGGCCTTGGCAATCCTGAGCACATTTGAAGGATGCCAGGATGGAGAAAGCTGCAGGAGGCAAGTTGTAAGTAGAAATACGCATGACATAACAAAGAAAGACGGCTCAGCTTTGTGATCAAAGGCCAAAGGCCATGCTGGCTAGGGAATTCTGGGAGCTGTAGTCTACACTCTTAAAGCTTTTGTCCCTTTCACCCTCAGCAACAGTTCCATGCTGCCACACCATCATCCCAATTGCTGTATTCATAGAGTTGGCCAGCACTTCCTCCAATAAGAAGGACTCCACCCCCAAAGCAGCTAATGTGCACTTGAATCCAAGCATGCCTAACAACATTTGCTTTTTTTCAGCTAAGAAAAAGAGATTGGAAAAGCTAAGTGGAAGAAAGACAGACCCAAGGGACTTGTGTTGGATGCAAGAGAGAATGGGGAAGTCACAGGATCCAGGAGGTGGGATATGGTTGGAGTTTGAGTAGAAAATGGACTGCTTCAAAGAAAATGCTGCAAATCAGCCTTTCCAATGTATTCTCTAAAGCAGGAGCTGCTAATCTCACACACACATTTTCCATGGCAACATGGGGACAAAAGCAAAGAGTTACTGATAATTGATCAGTGCGATCCTTGCATGTGGGAGAAATTATAGACAGGACTAACTTATTGGAAATATTAAGACACTGAATTCAAAATACTTTTGTTAAGCATTATTATATCAGGAAAAGACTTAAGAAAAATATCAGGCAGTAGCTGCTCATTTCAGCTCATTTCAGCAAATCTTTGACCAAAACACAGCTAAATTAGGATCCAACCTGATGAAAATAAGATGAGACAAAAACAAAAATAGCATAAACTTGAGAAATACAATTAGCTAACATGTCTTAAAGACTAATGGCATCGATTGCTTCTTTGAGCATCTCATGTTTTCACAGAGCATCTGAAAATCGTTGAAATGAGTTGCCTTGGAGGAAGAGTTCCATCAATAAGTTGTGTTACCTTGGCAGAAGATGGAAGTGCCATCTATAACTGATTGCCAACAGAAAATTTGAAAGTTAGGTTTATTTTATTTATTTATGTGTGGTCCATCTTACAATATCTATAGATTTATATGAGGATTAAAATCTATCTTCAATATGAGATACTGACCACTCATTCTTATGATTGGCAGGGTGTATATAGGTGGTCCTCGACTTACAGCAGTTCATTTAGTGACTGTTCAAAGTTATGGAACTGAAAAAAGTGACTGATGACTATTTTTCACACTTATGACCGTTGCAGCATCCCCATGGTTATTTGATTTATAGTCGGATGCTTGATAAGGTGGTTCATATTTATGATGGTTGCAATGTTTTAAGAGTCATGTGATCCCCTTTTGTGACTTTCTGACAAGCAAAGTCAATGGGGAAGCCAGATTCACTTAACAACATTGTTATTAATTTAACAACTATAGTAATTCACTTAACAAATATGGCAAGAAAAATCGTAAAATGGGACAAAATTCACTTTAAAAATTCCTCACTTAGTAGCATAAATTCTGGGCTCAGTTGTGGTCATAAGTCAAGGGCTACCTATATCAGTAAAGTGTTTATTCTGGACCAATGAAATGACCAGTCAAATCTTTAATCAGCTGGAAGCATCTCTCTCTTCTAACAGATATTAGACCTGAATTGGCAGACCTACAAATTGTCGATATCACATAATCACTTATTTACTTTTATGAAGCTTAATTTCATTCAGTTTTGAGGCATGGGATGGTAGAGACAGAATGGCCTGTAATCTTGACATATGATATATACGACCCACTATCTACTCTGTCTGTCTCCTCTATCCTTGAAGTCTCCATATAACTTTTACTATTGATTGATAATCCAGTTTAGATAATCAAGCTCCTTGAATAAGGCCCATGATTTTGAAAATTTGGAATACACAGTATTGCTGCAATATCATTTGTTAGATTGACAAATATCATTTGTTAGTTCCACAAATCACTAAAGTCAATATATAACACTGATTACAAGGGAAAGAAGCCTTTATCAGTTTTGCTTCTATAGAATTTAATTCAATGTTTCTGCCCTAAAATGACATTTTAGCAATTTAGTTTACATACTATGATTCATTAGCTTTCTTCCCCAAGAACAAAGTTATTTCTTTCCTTTTATTAGTTAATAACTTGGGATTTAATCCTATGTACCAGGATGGGCAACATGAGATTTTCCAAATGTTGCTAATTGAAACTCCAACCAACCCCAGGCAATATGGCCAATGGTGGGGAATCACAGGATATGTGGTTAAGCAACATTTGGAAGGTCATCTCTTCATCACATTGACATTATGGCTTGTTGATATTAATTAGTCTTACTTCTGAAAAGAACAATGTAATACATCAAAATTAATGCACAAAACCATAATGCAATAAAATATTTCAAATAGAACTCAGTATTTACAAAGTTACAAATAATTCCATAATTGGAGATTGTTAGAGCCACTATTAAAATGATAATAAACTTTCAAATGAAACTTAGGTCCATAATATTCAAAATGCCTCAAGAGGGAATACATTAAGACATTCTTTCTTCTTCTTCACAGCCTTCATCTTCCTTCAGATGGTTCAGTGAGAACTTCACAGGAGGGCCTATAGCTCATAAGCAAGGTAGCTGAGAGAAAAAGGTGACTGCTCCCTCTGGCTCTGAGAAGCTACTGGTCCTATTGAGTTTGGGGAGCCATGAGTGGTACTCAAACTACACAGATGCTGTGACATCATTTCTTTGTGACATCAGAAATCATGACAGTAATGGCAGAGAAATTATAGTGATGGAGCTTGGGAGGAGAAAAGGATGGGAGGAGCAGGATTATGGAAAGCAACTGGAAATATTGTTGGAGGTGTTTTTTTTCTGAGAGGCTGACACAGACTCCAATAAGAAAATCCTAAGACTGGCTTTAGGCTAAGGCTAAGTAGGCAGTGGCCAGGGAGGCCAAAGCTTAGGAGGTGCCACCACCCCCCTCCTTCCAAATCATTCTACAAGTGCAAATCTTTGTCTTGATGGTAGACAAAGTAGGCAATGTGGCTTATAGGCATTGGAGAGCACCAGCAGCTTGCAATGGAAAGAGTAGCCCTAACTGCTTCATGTTACATTAGGAGATTGAGGTCTAATGAAGTCTTTCTGTATGTTAGACTTCAAAAGACCTTCTAAATCACTTGTCTCAGCTCTAATCTTTTTCGGAACACAGAGGTATTGTTTAAAAGCACTTGCATGGCTATTCTATTGTCAAGAACTTGCTGTAAATGTGAAAGATGTTTTCTTGGGCAGATTGTTCTAAGAGAAAAGCTAGGAAATATCTGATGGAGTGAAAATTTTATTTATTAATTTATTCTCACCCATCTTTTAAATTATTGTAATAAATAACTCAAGATGGTGAACACATACAATATTCTTTCTTGCCACTATTTTCTGTACAACAACAAGAAACCTGTGAGGTGAATTGGGTTGAGGTGAATGACTGGTCCAAGATCACCTTTCATGCCTAAAATGGGACTACACCCTCTGACTAGTTGCCAGATGTTTATCCTGAGGATGACATTTAACTGTTAACTTTCAGGACTCAGTTCTGATATTGAAAATGGCTTTTACAGTGTAGTCAGTTTTGGTATTGGTATTATGGGAAAAAAATGACAAACAGAATTATCATCCTATCAAGAGTTCAAAAATATAGCAAAGTAATCATTGCACAAGATGTTCAATAATAAATGGCAATTCCATAACCCTCAGTTGTTCACATGCAGTTATACCTACATGCTAAAGTCAATACCAAGCACTAATCATTAGCCTTGTATCCATGAAAAAATAATAGCTAGAGATCCTAAAGAAAGAAGTTTTGCCCTGGAGAATGGAGTTTAAAATCTTTGTCTTGTTTATTTTATCTGAATTTATTTGAGAACATTTTTATGTCTCCTATTCCCAGAGTTCTAGGCAGCTTATAATAACACAATAAAGCATTTATAAAATATTCATAAAACCAAATATTAAAACCAATAAAATTAATTCAAACTACTGTTATTCTCAAGCAGGTTTGAGCATGGTACTAAGAGGATTGTTTTTACTATTCAAACTCTTGTTGTTGTCTTATTACTTTCGACAAAAAAACTGCCTCTATTTCACTGTATGGCCATATTAGGGCAAAAGGAAATGTGAATAAAGTTGCAGGCATAACTCATAGTTTTTTGGGAGCAAGGAAGATGGTCGGTATGCAAAAGCATAAGAAGACCTCTTTTGGACCATCTATTCAATCATTCTGTGTTACGCATTGGTTAAAAGGAAATTTTAAAAAAGCACAGATAACACGACGGACCATATGCTTGTAATTGTTCCCCAGTAACTTGTATTTAGCTTCTTGTGACTCAGAAGGTACTAGATTGTGTTCTATTTACATTCCCTCCCCCGCCCCCCAAAAATTCTTTATTTAATCTTTCTGAAGAAGCTCCTGCTTTGTTTAAGAGGAGAGGAAGACAAATAAATAGGGAGACAGATGGAACCGAAAATCAAAATTATTTTTTTCAGATTGTAGTTGACTTTCATAATTAGACCAGAATGAGCTAACCACTTATCAGTTATTCATAAACCTAGGCATGTAGGGTGTTTTTTTTTAAAGGCATCTTACAGATTTGAGAGCAATGCCTCCCATGCGCCATTGAATCCTGACATCCCATCCTTCATTTTAGACACTGCACCTTATTTAGAAGCCCAGAAAGAAATTGTTCTCAGATGTAATGAATGAGGAGATAGAAAGGAATGAGATTATCAAGCAAGCTGGACTTGATAGCAGGTCTAAATATATTAACTAGACTATGAAATGCAGGATGCATTGATATTTAATCAGCAGGGGGCAATGTTGCTCAGGTTAAAATCACCATGGAAACTATACAGTAAAGCAGGATAGATAAGCAAGGAAGATTGCATCCTTATTTTTAATACAACTGTCAAGTAATAAAAATGATTAGTCCATCCGCTATCTGGCATTTAACATCTTGATTCATGAACCTGTTAAAATAAACACTGAAGTGTCTCACAAACAGTTGGCACTGTTCTTGAAAGACATTTATACTAAATTTCTACAACAGGGACCTTGGGCAAAGGGTCATACAGCTGCTTTAAGATCAAAGGCAATCAACAGCTTTATGATGTGGGACTTCAACACCCAGAATTCCCCAGACAGCAAGCAAGCTGGGTAGAGAATTCTATGAGTTGAAGTCCACACTCCTTGAAGCTGCCAAGACCGAAAAACACTCTTTTAAATGAAACAAAATTAGTATTGTTAACTGGTTAGGATAGGGTAGTAGGCTGCCAGAATATACCACTGCAGTAGGCTAAATTAAGAAATCTAAAACTCATCCAGGAAGAAAATGATGGCAAACTCCTTCCATTTTATGCCAAGAAAGCTATGTAAAAATGTCCATAAAATTAATAGGAGAAAAGTTTGACTCAGAGGTGACTGTACCTACTTTGGAGGATGGAAACTAGAATGTTAGGGTCACAAAAATGGACTTCATGGACACATACTTAAACAAAAAATGTGGATTATGTTCAGCAAATTATTCCAAGAGCATTTCCTGAATTTAAAAAGTTTGAATAACTTGGCAATGTGGTACTTTTTGTAAAGGACAGCGTTAAATAAAATCCAATTTTAATTCCACCTTCTAAACTGGCAGTGAGTCAATTCACTGCTGATGAATGTTGCTTTGACTCTAAAAAATATCTTTCATTAGCAACCAGATTCCATAGATAGCTCCCTTGCATGTAAATAGAATTGCAAAAACAGTGCATGAAAAATCAATAAAATCCAGATCTGCCCCAAATTCCTCTAACTGGGAAATCTTCTCCCATCCTTATATAGCTCCAATCTTATGGTTCTAGCACTGGGGAGGGGATCTATGGCCCTCCTCATGCTGATGAATTACATATAGGTTACATTGGCCATGTGGACATTTGGAATTCCATAGCATCTTTCCTCATTCCTCTAATATGGGTGCAAGCATGAGTTCTTGAAACTGTCACTTTTCATCTCTACAATACAATCAATAGCTGGTATGGAAAAGAACAAAAACAAGTGGTCCCAAATGAAAAGACAAAAAGTTTGGTCTAAAATCAGAGGGCAGCCTGAAGTAAAAGAGAAATGCATGAAAAGACAAGGCAAGCAAGCCAGTTAAGATAGCCTATAGCACAACAACATGCTGACACAATGCTAAACAGCCTCCTTGAATTTAATATCCCCCAGATGGGAATTGTATGCATTCCAAGCCTCCAATCTTGGGGGAAGGGGGAGAAAAGGTTGAAAGTGGGACAACAGGCCCATATTTTCACTATAATCCCTAAGACCTTCCACAGTGGCTCGGTGATCATGGATGTTAACACACTCCTGTTGAAGCCCACTTAATGGAGGAAGCCAAGGTTGTGTTCAATTATGACTTGGATGAAGGAGACTTTAGGGCACTCTCTTGCCCTGGAGGTGACAAATCCTCCCTAAATTGGAACAACTAGCCTGATTTGATCAATGGCATAGACTGAGGAAAAGATCTGGTTATTACCACATCCCTCTCTCCCATGGTCAGCCATGAGTCAAAGCAGACAATAAAGACTCAAAGTCAACCTTCTGGAAGAAGACACCTGAATGAACAAATGGTAAAACTAGAAATGCTACTATACAACCAGAGTTGGAGTGCTTTGGCTGCATAGCTAGCAGAATTATACTCTGCTAGCTATGTGCAGTTCTCATCCCTTGATTTATTTGCATGGCAGCATCGGGAATCAAGAACCAATACCTAAGTGTTACAAATATAGGAGTGAAATGCATCTGTCAGTCATTCAAAGTGGTCCCAAAAATGGCAAAGGAGGGGGAGGTGGACAAATGTGGTCAATAAAGGGCTGTGATGGATCCACCCCCTAGATATTGGAGATTATAATTATATATTTTGTTCAAGTATCATATTGTTGCACTTCAATTTTAAAGCATCGGTGAGTCAGGGTTTAGAACACATATACACGAAAAAGACCATTACATCTTATCTTCAATGCCCATGAAGGCTGGTTAATATTTGCCTAATTAAGAACTGCAGGGTGCACCATAAATGAGTACTAAATCCTGAATATATCAGGCATTTCAGTTGCTTGAAGTGGAATTCAGTACTTTGGGTGACATTTTATCCATCAGCACAGAAATACAGTTTCTGACAGGATTGTCCCCCACAGATATCTGTCCCACATAGGGCGATTCTATTAACCTTCCTGGTTAATAACCATTCATAGCATCATCCTTTAATTTATCTGAGCTAGCAGCAGTAACTGCATCTCAAGTAGCATACTGAATCCCATCAATTAATTGTGCTCAATGTGCAGGAGTACTTCAAACTGATTAATAATAGATCAAAACAGATCAAATCATTTCACAGGAACAAGATATCTAGGAGAGAAAATCTGTGTGCCAGAGAGACATTAGATACCACCAGTGGATTAAGTAACATTGTACTCACAGAATTATTATTTTTGTAAGCAGCTTTTTTTTGTAATATTGATCTTTATACCTCACACATTTTTCTGAATCCTTAAGTATTCATCACTAATATCATCAGACAAGAGAAACTGTGGGAAGAGAGCCATGTTAGTCTATGGTGGCAAAAGATCCGATAAAGTGATAGAAAAGAACAGAACAAAACAGAACAGAATAACAGAATTGGAAGGGACCTTGGAGGTCTTCTAGCCCAACCCTCTGCTCAGGCAGGAAACCCTATACCATTTCAGACAAATGGTTGTCCAATCTCTTCTTAAAAACCTCCACAACTTCTGGGAGCAAGTTGTTCCACTGATTAATTATTCTAACTGTCAGAAAATGTCTCCTTAGTTTCTAGGTTGCTTCTCTCTTTGATTATTTCCATCCATTGCTTCTTGTCCTGCCTTCAGGTGCTTTGGAGAATAGCTTTACTCCCTCTTCTTTGTGGCAACCCCTGAGATATTGGAACACTGCTATCATATTCCCCTGGTCCTTCTCTTCACTAGACATACCAATTCCAGCAACTGTTCTTTATATATTTTAGCCTTCAATTCCCTAATCATTTTTGTTGCTCCTCTGCACTCTTTCTAGAGTCTCAATATCTTTGCCGACCGATGCTGGATGCAGTATTCCAAGTATGGTCTTACCAAGGCCTTACAAAGTGGTATTAATACTTCATGTGATCTTGATTGTATCATTCTGTTAATGCAGCCTAGAACTGTATTGGCTTTTTTGGTGGCTGCAGCACACAGCTGGCTCATATTTAAGTGATTATCCACTAGGACTCCAAGATCCCCATCACAGTTGCTACTATTGAGCCAGGTACCACCTATATTATACCTGTGCATTTTGTTTCTCTTACCTAAATGTAGAACCTTACTTTTTTCACCATTGAATTTCATTTTGTTAGATAGTACCCAGAATTCACATCTATCAAGATCCTTCTGTATCTTAAGCCTATCTTCTGGAGTGTTGGCTATTCCTGCCAGCTTGGTGTCATTTGCAAATTCGATGAGTTTCCCATCTAGCCCCTCATTCAAATCATTGATGAAGGTGTTGAAGAGTATTGGGCCTAAAGCAGAGCCTTGGGATACCCCACTGCATACTTCCCTCCATGCAGATGCAGTTCCATTGAATGCGGTTGGTCAGTCAGTTATGAATCCACCTAGTAGTGATGCTGTCTAACCCACATTTTTCTATCTTATCCAGTAGTAGATTGTGATCTACTTTATCAAATGCCTTACTGAAGCCCAAGTAAATTATATCCACAGTATTCCTCTGGTCCACTAATTTTGTCACTTGGTCAAAGAATGCAATAAGATTTGTCTGGCATGATCTGTTTTTGACAAACCCACGTTGGCTTTTGGTAATGACTTTGTTTGCCTCTAGATGGTTACTGATTCGTTGCTTGATTATCTTTTCCAGAATCTTCCCAGGTATTGAGGTCAGGTTGATAGGTCTGTAGCTTCCTAGATCTATTTTTTTTCCTTTTTTGAAGATGGGAACTGCATCAGTTCTTTTCCAATCCTCTGGTAATTCCCCGGTGTTCCAGGATCTTTGAAAGGATATAGTTCAATGGTTCTGAGATCATGTTGGCCAGTTCTGTCAGAACCTTGGGGTGTAATCCATCTGGTCCTGGTAATTTGAACTCATCTACAGTGGACAGGTGCTCCCTTACCATTTTCTTGCCTATTTTAATTTGTATTCCTAATATGTTTATGGTACTGTTGATAGGTTGTATTGTTTTTTTTTCTTTTGTGTGAAGAGGGATGCAAAAAACGAGTTAGGCAGTTCTGCTTTCTCCCTGTTGTTTGACTCCTTCTTGCCACTTTCTCCCATTAATGGACGAATAATTCCTTGACTTTTTTCTTTTTTTTTACATGTTGAAAGAAGTTTTTTTTATTTTTGACTTTTATCACAAGCCTTAGTTCATTTTGATCCTTAGCTTTCCTCACTTTATCTTAGCAGGTTCAGGCTATTTACTGATATTCTGCCTTAGTTATGTACCCCTCTTTTCACTTTCTATACTTGTGCTTTTTGTCTTTCAATTTGTCAGAGAATTCTTTATTCAGCCATGTTGGTTTCTTTTCAGAACTGTTATTTTTCTTCTTCATTGGTATTGTGCTAGACTGGGCTTTTATAATCTCACTTTCCCAAGCTTCTTGGGCTGTTTTCCCCTTGAAGATTCTCATCCATGGAATCCTTCCCAAGCTCTCTCTAAGTTTATTGAAATTAGCTCTCTTAAAATCCAAGACTCTAATTTGACTTTGTTCTATTGCTTGTGCCTGCATAATGTTGAATTCCAATATTGCATGATCACTCCCCCCCCAAGGTTCCTATAGCTTCAACACCTTCTATCATTTCCTCTCTGTTAGTGAGAATTAAGTCCAATATGGCTGATCCCTTAGTTCCCTTCTTTACTTTTGGGGAGACAAAATTGTCTGCTATGTTTGTCGGGAATCTATTTGATCTTCCCTTGGTGCAGAGTTTGTCTCCCAGTTTTGCTTAGGCCTTTTAATAAAAAATTGTTTGTTGGAAAAGGCACTTTCAGACAAGGAAGGAATTTAGTTTATCACAACTCCCGCACTTGCCTGCCGTCCTTGCCTGGGTTCCCTCTGCAGCCACAAGGAAATGGAAGCACCTGTCTTACCTCCCTGCATAAATGGAAAATAGTTCAAAACACAGGGACTTCCCATTTAGTATGCATGCATCTTAAATTTTCAGTTCTTTGTTCCATACTGAAGCCAGGAGAGACTCAGTCAAAACGAAATTGTCTATATCAGTGTTTCACAACCTTGGCAGTTTTAAGATGGGTGGACTTCAACTCTCAGAATTCCCTGGCCAACCAACCAACTAGGGAATTGTGGGAGTTGAAATCCATCCATCTTAAAGATGCCAAGTTTGAGAAACACTGCTCTCCCTGCATTCCCTTTTGTATGAAAGAAATAGCCTGCTGGCTTTCAAGCATCTGAAGGTACATTTAGGTGTCTGAAGGCACATTTGAGGCTACATCAGCTGTAATATTATCATTTTCATCATATTTCCACATGTTTTTAGAAGCTCCATGTTCCTACGTAAGACACAGTTCCTCCTTCATTCCCTTCCACAACAACAACCCTGCAAAGTAAAGTGAGCTGAATGAAGATCGCTTAAGACGATAAGCTTCTGCTTGTTTCACTGATCAGCCCCGGAGTCCCGCCTGACTGCCCATCTTTGCAGCCTTAAGCCTTTTCTTCTCCGGCTGCTGCCGCCAGAGTCTTTTTTCCTTTAATTCCCGTCCGTTTTCCACGTCTACAGTGGTCCTAGGAAAAGCAGTCTTTAAAAAAAAAAAAAAAAGAGCCACGGGAGAGTCTGTGAGGGCTCGAACGTGCTGGGGAATGTCTGCGCCACTCCAGCCTCCTCATCTCGTCCTCCGCTTCCGACCTCGCCAAACGAGGCGGACGGAAAATCAGCGCGAAGAGCAACTCTCTCCACACACACACACAAGCACACACGCCGCCCCGCGATCTGCGGCTCCACCCCCTTGGTATCTCAGCCACTTGGTACATTCTGCAGCCGAAGTCCCAGTCAGCTCTGCCGGAGCCAGACAGCCGGAGTTACGCTCGTGGCCGGTGGAGTCCCCGAGCTGGACCACTCCCTGGGAAGATGAGAAGGCGCTTGGGAGCGGCGGGAGTATTCACGGCCGATCTGCTGTGAGAGAGAGAGAGAGCCCTTCTGGCCGGGAAGGCCGTAGAGACTATCCAGGCGACCCAACGCGTAGTTGCCCAAGCGATGTCAGGACCCGAACCCCATCACGGTCACAGCCGGAGACTGCCTTGTAAGTCCGTCCTTTGCCTGGGGAAAGCCAGGGTGGGCGCTCCCCTTCCCTCGTTTTTCGAACCGAAACTTTTATTAGGCATGTCTGAGAAACTGAAGTGCCAAGGCAGACCGGTATGGCCGAAAGCGCTTGGCAGATGAAATATGGAGGGGAGAAAAAGGGCTTCCTTTCAGCCTTCTAGGATCCAACTCCCATCCAGACTTCGCGCGCTACAACTCCCGCCTTGCCCAGGCAGCAGGTGTTAAGGGGGCTGTGTCGACTGGCCTGGAGTAATGAGGGCCAGCCAGGCTGAAGAGAAGCCCATCTTTCCCTAATGCCCCCAGACCCCAGAATCCTGGCTCCCAACTGGAATGCAGGGCCAGCTTCTCTCCATATACACTCAGAGAAAAAGAGCTTTCATTTGAGAGCAGGATTCTCCCCCCACCCCCACCCCATTCCTTTCCTGCCCTGGGTTATTGTGGAAAAATAGCTTGACTAGGCATCATTTCAGGAGCAGGGGAATTGCTTGGGCACAAATCCACACCTCTTGATTAAGGTCAGGAAACCCCATCCATTACCATTGCCTTCTAATTGCAGTTCATCTCTTAGTATTTTGTCACTTCAATAACAACCCACAGCATTTCTTTCTCAAGACAATCTGACTCATAGGCTTGCATTTTTTTTCCTGTCTCAATTTAATTTATATGACTACATCATTTATATGCTGTTGAGAATTTTTTCTCTCTCATCTTAAGAAATTACAACTCATATCAACCCCAGTCAGCATTGGAATGATCCAAAGTCTCTGGAAAGCCCCATGTTTATTAGTCCTGCCTACAAATACTCACCTGCTAACCTTGGACTTTGTGCCTCTTCCAGTCTCTTCCTGATCTGCACTGAGGAAATACCTATAGGCAAATCTAAACAATGGCTCCCCACTTCCCACCCTTCTATGAAAGTCTATATAAGGTGTTTAATTTACATCTGACAGGTGTTTATGGTCAAAAATAAATGTGTTCACATTTTGGCTAAGAAAAATACATTCAGTGCACCAACTGTCTTTTTCTCTTCCCCTGTGATCAGCACAAATTGTAAAGTTATTTTTTTTCCTGGCAAAGAGAAAGTATTGTTCTCATAGGCAAATTCAGTGGGAGTTTATGTGTAGTTTCACAAGGTGCAAGTGGTGGATAATTACTATCAGACAGCAGGATAAGAATAAAAGCAACAAACCCAGTGCTCACTTCCTCCCCCTCATTTTAGTCAAAGTATACCCTCCTCCCTCCCCCATAGCTTTCTAAAAAAAAATCCCTTACAGTTAAGATATTAGACTTTTGGGTGGATCATCCCTGCAATTTCAACTTTGCTCTTTATATTATATTCCCTTGCTTTGATTTAAGGAGACCTTTTAACTCTAGTGGGTGATGGCGCCTGAGATGTTGTGATAGTGATGTCATGTCAAGATACTTGCCACCCTCATAAAAAGCTATGCATGAACTCTTATTCCTGAGAAATGCACGCTCTCTTCAGAATGTACTCTCAGTATCAATTCTGATGAATTCACATGATTCTTACGTCGATGCCATTTTTACATTGGCAACTTTTCTGATGCAAAAGAGAAAAGCTAGATCTATCTTTGCATACACAAATGTGCCACATTCCCTTTTCTAGATATTCCTCCACTTACAATCAATCTTTGATATTAACAATTTTAATTCCTTTTAAATTATAAGTGTATTTTTAATGCAAAGGTGCATTTAATGTGATGTCCAGTTTTATCTTTTCTTTTTTTTCTTTTTTTTTGCTGGTAGGGTGAAGAACTTTTATTTTTAGATGAGGTTGCTAAAACAAGTCTCTTTTGATCTCCATTTAAAGTCTTTTTTCCCTAGGCTCTGAAGAGAAATTGAGTAACATTGGCTTTTGTGAGATCTATTAGCCTATGGCAGATACTGGAAATAGTTGAAAGATCAGTGGTAGATTTCCTTTATAGAAAAAGAAAATAAAACCCTTCTATTCCGTAGGAGATAATGGATAAGCATGTCTTAGGAATAACATGTATGGAAAGATGAACTGGCCTGAAACTGGAGATTTAAAATCCATCAACAATTTCCATTTGAATGCTCCTCTCTGCCTTCCTTTGGGATGTGATACTGCAGTAAAAGCATAACTCAAACTGCTGGGAGATGAAATGCAAGAAAAAGAGGGAAGGTGGGAGGAAAGACCGAAAAGCTGGTGACTTGAGAGAAACAGGGTGAGGTGAAGAATTATGCTGTGACCCTTCCCCTCTGTTTCAAATTCATAATGAAAGCTAGACTAGCCTATCCTTAAATCCCTTGAGTCTTGGAGCTAAAAATATTTTCACAGGCCACGGCTCTCTCTCCCCAGCAGAGACAACATCATAAGACCTGGCTATTTACAGGGCCACGAGTTGCTTTATATAGAATGATGAGCAGGATAAAACCAGGAGCACATAAGAGAGGTTGATGGGAGGACAAGAGATGTTCAAAACCCCAAGGACAACAAAAGGAGGCAGCTTCCTTGTTGTGCTTGGTCCAAACTGTAAGGTCAGCAGCCTTGCCTGGTTCAATCTGGGAGCTGTCTTAATTCTCTAGATCAGTGATTCTTAACCTGTGGGTCGGGACCCCATTTGGGGTCGAACGACCATTTCATGGGGGTCGCCAAACAAGGCTGTCCGCCATTTTTCCCCCTTTTGTTTGGCCACGCCCCTGGCACCCGGTGATGTATAAGTGGTTGGGGGTCACCACAACATGGGGAACTATATTATGGGGTCGCGGCATTAGAAAGGTTGAGAACCACTGCTCTAGATGATTGAAGTATGCTCTATATTAAAAGAATTTTCCTGAATCTATTCCTCAACTTTGGCTGCTCTCTTGAAGATTTTGTTTTGGTTGCAGGAACAGTAGTGGTGTGGATTAAATCAGGAGCCTAAAGGGAGTGTATAGAAAAGAAGGGTGGATGGATGGGAAAGAATGGTGTCAGATCAGATTTGGATGGAAATCACATCCTGTGCTGAAGAAAATTTATCCCTTAATCCTTAAAATACCTGCAACTGCATGTAGCACAATTAAAGCATTCTGTACCTATATAAGAGCTATCTGTAGGTACCATGCAAATGCAGAAAGAAACAATCCATTTATATTCATGCAATAAATCTAGAATCAATCCTAGAAAACAGCTGTGTTGAATGGGCTGAATAACCTTAATAGTAGCAGTGTGGGATTTACCTCCAGATGACAAATAATTTATGGCTCCTATAGATCAGCATTCCTAATCTGAAGACCTCCAAAATGTGTTGAGTTTGCAGTACAGAATTACCAGCTAGTCAGAGAATGCTTTCTCCTATATCCCAAAAGAACAGACATGAGGATCTATGGTTGTTTTTCAGTGCTATGATTTTGCATTCATCCTTGGGAAATAAATGAGAGCCTAGTTGGTCTAATGGTTAAAATGCTGGACTAGGAGAGAAAAACCCGAGTTATAGTTCAGCCAAGGGTTCATCACACCTTCTCAGCCTTAGGAAGAAGTCAATAGCAAACCACTTCCAAAAATGATGCTTAGAAATCTGTAGGGATTTGTTCATGCAGACACCAGGAATCAAGTCTTTTTGTCTCATTTTATGACCTTTCTTGCCACTGTTATTAAGTGAATCATTGTAGTTGTTACGTTAGCAACCCAATTGTTAAATGAATCTGGCTTCCCCATTGACTTTGCGTTCAGAAGGTCACAAAATTTGATCACATGACCCTGGGACACCGCAACCATCATAAATGTTAACCAATTGCAAAACATCTGTATTTTGATCACATGACCCTGGGGATGATGCAATAGATATAAGTGTGAAAAATGGTGATGTCACTTTTTTCAGTGCTGTTCTAACTTTGAATAGTCACTAAACAAACTGTTATAAGTCGAGGACTACCTGTATTGTCAACTTCCCATTTTTCAGCCATGACAGTTTAAAAATGTCTGGGAGTTTGGGGGAACCAAATTCTGTGTGCACATTAATAGTAAACATAAATAATAATGTTTTATCATGGCTTAGCAATAACAGGCTTGAAAAACTCCTTTTCATACAAGTGCAAGCCCTTCATTTTATATATGGTGGCTGAGTGGGCAAACCATGAGCCATTAGCATTAGCAATTCTAATTTAACCTAACTTAGCATTCACATCTGGCCTGGAAAGAATTTCAGGTGTTATGTACTGATTAAAAGTAAAGAAGCAACTCTTCCAAGCAGGATGCTTTACTCTTAAGGAGCTGCATTTCAAAACTCAAGGATTTTAAAGAGCTTCTTAAAGAAGAAAAGCCATCTCCCACAATCTTCTCTTGGAAGTATGCCTACAGTTAACAACATCCTCCATCTCCTTTCATTCATGCTGCCTGCCTCACAATAGGCATTTTGTAATCAGGATCTAATTGGACAAGAAAGAATGACTAAAGCTGCCACTCCCAGCAGAAATCCAGCCCAACAGTTCTGACAAGACTGGTCCAAAACAAGACTTTACTTCCTGGTCTCAAGACAACTCAGAAAAATCTAAGCCTGCCCTAGAACTCTTAGGTTAAATATATCCTCTGTTCCTGACACTTATGCAGTTTTTAATTGCCAGATTTGGCAGGTTTTCTTGCAAGTTTATTTCTGCTGAAGATTAAAAAAAAAGTTTTATTATAAGATAGCCTTGCTAGACCAAGGAGCCACCAGATGTGTGGCGATTTCAATTCCCCAGCTATTGTGGCCATGAGCTTAGAAGGCACCAGACTACAAAGGCTATTCTATGCTGTCCTCATTTGGTGTCTTGATTTAGTTAAGACTGCTAAACATTATTTATACTGAAAAAGATACAAGCTAAGGCTATAAAGATGATCAGATGAATGTCTTGTGCCCTACCAGGAATGGTTGAAGGATCTAGGCCAGTGTTTCTCAACCTTGACAATTTTAAGGCATGTGGACCTCAACTCCCAGAATTCCACAGCCAGCAATGCTGGCTGTGGAATTCTGGAAGTTG